AACTTGGGGGATATTAATAATTAATATATGCATTATAGATGTTGCATCTTAACTGCACTCTATCACACATGCTACACATACAAACATAAAGAAACAATCCATAACAAAGTAAGACTGATGTTTTTTCCCCTTAAATTTGTATTATTAAAACATCTTAGTGAGTTAGTGCAGGTGGACTATGAAATATTATCTTGAACTTTTTCTCTCCTCTAATTTAATGTTCTCTGTAAATGAATTATACTTCCTCACCTCATTATCCATTTATATCAGTAAACAACCATGTTAAGCATTACCAGCTTGGGTGAGTTTACTGGATAGATGTCTAATTTTTTGCACTCAACGTTTGATCATTGCATTCTAGATTTAGCATTTTTGGTGATATCACATGTGATCAACAATGGTCTTTGCTTTATTCCATAGGTTGCTTTGTACAACTTCTTGATTTCTACCTGTGGCAAATGCAAGAACTCTGATCAAGCAATCCGGGTATGCCCACTTTTCTTATCTTATCAATCTCTGAATAATTTCTAACTTTAGTGATATTTATTTTGTTCTCTGTCTTTAATTTGAAGCATAGGTTTTAGAAGAAATGAAACGATCAGAAGTCAAGCCATCTGGACAAACCTATGTCTGTCTACTTAATGCATGTGCAGCTGAAGGTCGACTAGATCAAGTGTAAGAAATTTTTTTGATGTTCTGATATTCCCTTCTAATAAATATTATTTTGAAACTTGTGGATGTGTAATGGTAAGAAAGGTTAAACTAGCTAGAGTCATGTTACAGATGCCTGGATCAGGAAATTTTCAGCAATCTACTGAAATAATATTCATTTGACCAAACGGTTTCCATTTTGTTGTTTCTTGCCAAAAAATACTTTTCCACTTGTAATTTGAACTTATGTCATGTGCCTTAGTATTTGGTCTGTTGTGAAGCCTATTTGGCTATGAGCTTTGGTTTGTTTGGTCACTGGCAAGGCTGAACACACAAGCGCATGTTTATTCTCATTAGCATCCAATTCAGAACTTCTTAATGTCGCAGATATGCAATTGTTCGAGATATGACTGCAGCTGCTGTGGGTTTGAACAAATATTGCTATGCTGGACTTATAGCTGCTCACAAGAATCAGGAACCTCTTGCTGATGATGTAGCTTCTAAAGTAATGTGCAATTAAACCTACATACTCTAACAAGTTTTGATTGATTCATACATTTCAATTATCCTGATTCATTTTCTTTTGTGGGGAAGATTATTGAGCTTGTTGAGCAGTCAAAGAGTTGGTCAGAGGTTGAAGCTCCGAGAGATATTCCTCAAAGATTTATGACAATTACTTCTGAAGAAGAACTTTACCACACCCCTACTGCTGAGTTTGTAAATCGACGTGCATTCTTGAATAAGCAGTTAACTGTGTACCATGTTGCATTTCATGCTTGTGCGGATCTGAAAAATGTGGAGGTACTTTAGCTACATTGTCAAGATTCTGTGCTCTTCCCTTTCTACATGGCTTATCCATAATTGCATTCAATCCACTTGGAGTGGAGCTCTCTTCTTTTCCAAACTAACTGCAGATAGCATGCATGCATTATTGACAAGCCATTTTGCCTTGTTTTATACTTTATTCAAGGTAAACAAATACATTGCCTTTTAGTTAGCTAGGTGTGTATCCTATCATAGCCATCCTTGTACAAAATGTATGAGACCCTTTTTTGAAAGATCTAAGAGATATTCTGTACTTTAAAAAAAAAAAAAAAACACCCTTGATTCATAATAATGTCGGACTCACTCTATCCCATTTTAGTCTTGTTTACTATTCATTGGTCAAACAAACTCTTCTCTTATTTGCTTTAATGTTTTTTCATATATATATATATATATATTTTAAATTTGAGTATTTGTATTTAATAGTACTTTTAATGCAGTTTCTAAATATATAATTTTGTTATATACTAATACTAAATTAAATAGTACACAAAATTGAATTGTAAATGACTTGAGTCAAGACTCGTTAAACCAAACAAACAAAATCGGACAGAGGGAGTAGTAGTTTACATCTTCATTGTATCTTTGGACATTGGCAAACTCTTCTGTTCTTAATTTGATACTCTCTCTTTTTCTGCACCACCCCCCCCCCCCCCCCCCCCCCCCCAAAAAAAAAAAAAAAAAAAGATACTTTTTTTTCAGTTACTATGTAATCATTGCCATAAACTTTAAATAATTCTTCCTTTTAAACAATAAAAAAAAGAAAGAAAGAAAGAAGAATAATAAAGAAAGAAAAAAACCTCCCCTAAATCATCAACTTAATTTGGAGACCATTAGTCTACTATTTATGGTTCAACTTTAAGCCAATATCTTAACCTATACTGTGTAATACCCATTAACTCGATCCATTTTACATTTTAAGCTATAATCCTGTTTACCTTTAACTTTTCCTACTTGGGTGTATCTGTCTTTTCATTGTTGTGATGGCAGCTTACCTGTCTGAAAAGGGATCCTTATCCACTCAGTGTTTCCTCATGTTTAAGGATTTCTATTTCATGTTATATTGTTATGGCAAAAATATCTATGTAGTCAGTCATTTGGTTCATTTCTCATAGGTCAATTTGGTCCAAATTCTGTTTATCCATGGCAGGCTATTGATACACTTCATCAGATGCTTGAAAAGGATGGTAAAACACCTGATGTGTTCATCCTGATGCAACTCATGAGGTACGTTATTGTCAAAGCACTTACATATTACTTGTACTTTAATATTGTCAGTGTATTGTGCAAGCTCATTTTATTAAGTTTGAAGGACTTTTCAGTTTAAATTGTATGTAGAAAAAGCACTCCAGATAGATGCACACAATTTTTATATGGGAGTAATATGTATATAATTATGTTAAGTTGTTAACAACCCAGTTGGAGATTAACCAACCACATCAGAGGCGGGAAAAGGGTATACATAACATGTGGAATGGTGGAAGGGTTATGGTAAGACCTCAGAACAGGAATCCAAAATACAGCTTTTAGCAGATAGAATGAATGTCTTAAGCTATTAATCTAGATTCTTTGACCAATAGAGCTACTGAGCTAGAAACCAGAAGCTTAAGAGCTTAATCTTTTTGTGAACAGGCACATATGTTGTTTTATATTATATTTACCCTCAACAAACCAACATGTTCATATGTAAATATGGTGTAATATGCTGCATGTCAAATTCAGACCTCACATTGGTTAGTGTCAAGTTGCATTCTCAAACATATTGCATGCACAGCTGCCCCTTTGGGGTGCTGAAAGTACTTGAAATATGAATACTACATTATCAACTCAAGTGTCTTAAATTTGTTTTGAAAGCTGTGTTCATCTTTATTTATTTTATTTTATTTTTGATCATTCTTGGTTCTTCTGAATCTTGTGCACACTGGTGTTGGGGAAACCTGTTCTGGTGATTTTGCTAAAGTTTGCAGTACCAAAATTTGATTGCAATATACATGCAGGTGCTATCTACATACAGGGGACTTAGATCGTGGTCTTAAAGTTTTTGAGGACTACATGAACTCTGAAAGACCACCCATTATAGAGCTTTATGTGGTATGTTTTAAAATAAAATGAATGAAACTGCTTGCATGTCCTCGTCTTTTTTTTTTTTTTTTCCTCATAGCTCATGAATTAGCTCTGTTTTCTGTTGTGTTTCTGTATTTCCGGATGAATGCAACTAATAAACATTTTCTTTTTGAAAGACTCTGATAGAAGGAGCAATGGTTGGGTATACTACCAGAGGAATGCAAATTGCTCAGGACACGCTGGTACACTTTTGAGATCTTATTGCATTATTATGATTATCTATAATTTTATTTATTTTGGCTGTTATTTTTCAAAATAGTCACAGTTTGCTTGTATGTCTTTCTTCAGTTAGCAATGAATCAAAGGAATTTTACCCTGAGCCCAAAGATGGGAACTGATCTCCTCCTTGCAGCTGCTGGTGAAAAGGTTGGAGAAGAAAATTATGTTACTCCTGTGTTACTTATCATTGGATAATATTACTCTGAGACACTAGTCTCAACCCTTCTCTATGCTCATTAATTTTGGCAGTCTTTTAATAATATCTATCTGATAATTGCTTGCAGAGTGGCGGATATACAGTTGCCAATTTACTTTGGGACTTGATGGTGGGGCGCAATGTTAATATCTCACTTCATGCTGTTGAGGCATATTACCAAGGGCTGAAGGTAAGAAATCTTTCTTACTCTGTTCATGACAAACCTGATTGTCATTATTTCTATAATTGTTATGAAATGAAGGTTCTAAAGTCGTACATACCGAATTCACTATATTGCAAATTGGCTTCTGGCTGTATGTACTTATATTTTTTTAAATGCAAAAACTTGTAAATTCAGGACCGAGAGGTACCAGCAGATGATCCACGGCGGATGCTTGTAGAGAAAACATATAATGATCTGAAAAGAAGGTTTGGAAGAAGAACTTACTAGGTAGGAGAGAAGGTGAACTCAAGGAACAGTTGGTCCACTTTTTACCTTTATTCTGCTATCATTTGTTTCCTCTTTTTGAACTTGACAAGGCAAGTGCTGTCACTCTAGGTGATAGATTGATTTTATGGTTCATACAAGGAAACAACTTTACTTAGGAACACTCCTTTTATGGTTCTTTAGAATGAATGTCATTATAATTTTATCATGAATTTCACAGCCTAGCTGAAAATTGATTTTCCTGGAACTGAACATCAGGATTGTGTCCCATTTGTATGTAGATTTTCAGTTACAAAAAAAGACTAGCCGAATTAGGCTTTAAACCTTTGTTATACCATGCAAGGTGAACTCTGGTCTTAAATTGTGTATTTTTAGTATTGAAATTGTGAACATCTAGAATATAAATTATGTTTTCAAATTTTGAGAATTTATGAATACAGAGTCGTCATCACAAATTGTGAATATTTAGTACGTAAATTATATATCTTTGAACTCGGATCCACAGAATAATTTGCCGGCTTTAAAGGACCCATTGAAGATTCCACATGTAGAGGACATCAATTGAAATTGGAGAGCCAAGCAAAACTTTAGTGTGCTACTGTTCTCCATAAAATTGAACGGTTCATGCTCTCGCATTGATTCATTAGACTACTTGTAGTAGTCCCGTCTATAAACCAAAAATAAAACAAACAGACAAAATCAGGCAGAATATTAAAACAAAAAATGCTGATGTTTTATCATGCACATATTCTCCACATGAGGGTTGGACTTGACGCTCTCAAATCGCATGTCTAGAAGGCTTCAAGCAGTTCTTAGGGAAGGCCGAATACATGCTGCAGCTCATATCAATGTCGACCCTTAGGGACACTGCATGAAGTACCCTGCTACACCAGACATGTGACACCTCTGGCAATTGGAGTTGAATCATCAGTTATCAACCATTACGGAGCTTCTTAGCATTTTCAACCGCTTCAATGTAGAAATACAATCGCCATAGTGTTACATTATCCTGCAATACACCCACAGCGAACACCTAAGCCTTAGGGTCCGGTAACTAACTATCATCCACATTCACATTTTGTACTTTTTATTTACCTCTTTTTCCAAATCAATATGTATCTCATGGCATGAATTTGCATTCGATTTCCTATGACGCTGTATAATCTTCACAACACTGTCAAGATTCCTTGGTGGCAAGTTCTTTATCATCCTTTGGAGCTGTTGTTTCTCAGAAAGGGTCATCAACCTGCCAATTATCCCAAGGTGGCAACTTTTAACACAATAAGTAACAAGCAACAAAAAGCCATCTGTGGGCCCAGTGCACATCTAAATACCCCATCCACCCCCCTCCTCCATCCGACCTTGTCACTCAAAACCCAACCCTGCTTACTTAAAAATCCACTACTTAGAAGTGTTCTACGCAGATGACAGATCATACTTTGTCATGCCTCCCCTGTGGGTTGTTCCAGAATCCAACCTGGCTCTGCTATTTGACAGATCATATTTGTCTTTCCATTATATCTTATTTCCTTCCACACACAATAGGGATAATATTGTGCAAAGCTGGACTACAGTTACAAACTCACAGAGTTGACATATCATGTTTCAATGATTTGAAAGAGATAATGTCTCATCACAACTGTAGAAAATCATGGAAGCACACCTTTTTGACCACAATAATCTCCCAGATCTTACAAGATAGATTTATACCACAGGTAAAATGATAACCAATCCAGTAACCAACTTAAACTTTCCTAGAAGTTGCAAAACAAAATAGATATGGGATAAGCAAAATGCTAACTAAGCAAATGACAAAATATTCTGTTGGAAACTAATACTCCATACTATACAGAGAGGAAAAATAACCTAACCCTCATCACTGTTGAGAGAATTATTACCTGCACTTTGACATCACAATATCAAGTAGTTCTTCAAGTTTCTGCTCCATTTTCTCAAGCTGCCAAAAGTAACATTGAGATCAACAATCATATTTCCTGATTGTTGTAGAATGAAAGAGCAATGGCTGTGTGGGGCTTCAAAAAGAGAAAATTTAATTACCATTACTGAAAGATCATCTGAATGCTTCTTAAGCACTTCCTCAACAGTTGAACTGTCATTCTGGAGGAGGAATGGCAAATCATCAACCTGAAAAAGTCAGCAAAGATCAATTAATTAAGGAATATACCAAAACTTCATGGACATAAAATGATTTGTGGACAAGTCATATTGCATGCACAGATTGGAAGAAAGTCATCAAACTCAGTCCATAAAACACCCTGGGGACAAACACACTGGAAAACACCATAGTAAAGGTGGTCTTACGTCTTGATCTTCTTTAGCAGCTCCAACATTTATACCTAAAAGGCAATCACTATTTTTCTCATTCATTAGCAAAGACTCTGTTCCCTTGTCGCCATCAGGTCTGCAGGCATTGTGGAAAGGCTGGCAGAAAATGGTCCAAGAATAGTAAATTATATATATTGATTGGGTAAGTGAAGCATATGAAACAACAAACAGCTAATAGCCTAATACCTTTGTCCCCTCTGGACTAGATCTCCCCTGAGGGGCTTCAGTATGGGATTCAGTACATCTATTCTCAGTATTGTTGGATATTTCTCCTCTTGATGCTGAGACACCAACATCTTGACAATCTGAAGCCTGAATGAACCAAAATTTCAAACATAAACTTGCCAATATAAAAATGAATTAATATTTGCAAACAAATTAACAAATTTAAGAGAAAAAAAGGATTAGAAATGATAAAGAACTAAACCCTATTGAGCCATTTGTATTAATTGCAATAAATTGTGAGAAACTAAAAATCTATAAAATGTTTTTATGTTTGTAAAATTATTCTAGTAGGCAGTGATGCAATCTTTCTTCTGCCTCTCCAACGAAACCTAACTGGTTAGACTCACTACTTTCTCTACAACTGCCTCCAATGAACCTTTGCTATACTTTCAGCAAGTTAAACTAACAGGTTTGCAACAAACACAGGAATTACTAGTAGAACCAACAATACTATAGAATGCCAAATACAAAAAAGAGGTCAGTACATGAGACATGAGAGTGAATACCATTTAAAACGCTGATAATCACAACAACAACAAGTCAACAATAGACATGAAAGCAAGTGAAGACACTTACTGGCGAAGACAAAGTAGAAGGTTTGAGCTTCTTACAAGGATTCCCTTGATCAAAGTCAGATCCAGCAGAAGAACTAGTTATTAAACTCCCATTGAATCTCAGAAATGACTGTAGCCGGCATATATTAAAAACAAAATCCACCTTCTGCAATTAAAGTAACCAGTGGAAATAGATTTCACCATTAGCATATAGTAATTGAGGTTCAGATTATCTTCACTGAACATATGATTGAAGCATATTTCTTTCTAAGCCAAAACTATCATATGCAGGTACAAATGTCTTAAACAGATCAAAGAAAGGGTCATAAGAAAGTCATAGCCAATACAAAAACAGTAACCATCAGAACTATGGTTGACATTATAATGAATTTCAGATTGGAATTTATCAAAAAGAGATGTTGCATCACTTTTTTTTTTTTTTGGTGCCAAAACAATTATATATACAGTAGTCAAGCATTGGTTAGAAGTGAAATGGAGAATAAAACGTATAGGAGGCTAAAGAAAGGAGAAAAAGATTCATCACAGACCTCATCAACTTCCTCTGAAAGAGCAAAAACACCTTGACGAAGCAGTGATTTCAGCTGCACCATTTTTATCCCAGAGACTTCAGGTCCAATGCAATTAGAAAATAAGGATGAAGAACTTGCGCCATTACACTCCTTCCTGCGGTGGCTAGCCTTGTTTCCATTCAAATTTTCAGCTGATACAGGAATCTGAAGTGAAGAAGGCAGAAAATCTTCATCTTCAGATAGTAATTCCGCTATCTCACATTTATAGAAACCAAAGTAATCTGGTTCAAGGTTGTTCCATCCACTCGAAGCATCCCAGCCCATTATAGTTTCTGTAATGATACCAAATCTACTATATGCGCATGAATAAGGAGATCTGTACAGATAAACAAACCAAAACCTAAGCGTTTATGCACGGAAGTAGAAAAAAAAAAAAAAAACACAAAACAGAATCCGACCGACCTCTATTGAGCAGAGTGATCGCTGCTAGGGTTCCGATGAAGTTCCTGGTGTTTAACAAACTGATTCCGGTTAAGACGCAATCCTGAAGTTCTTAAAAAGCACTAGCGGTGAAATATAAATCGCTGCCCTGTACCTGGAGAGCATCAATTCCGATTTGCATTTATCTTATTTTGCATCTGAAATCAGGATTAAAATATGTTTGGCGCTATTTGCAATTTTGCATTCCAACTCCTAAACAGTTCATAATCTCGCCTTTGGATTTCCCCGCTTCGACCTTGAGTTTCCACGCCGTAACGCATTACGTTACATATTTCATATTTACATGTCCCCGCCGCCACTTCACCACCCCTGCCCCACAAACTTATAGAAGGCTTTGTTTGTTTGTTTTTTTTTTTTAAGAATTTTGTCATAGTCATGTAGGAGAGAGAGAATAGAGAGAAGAGGAATAAAAATAAAAAATAAAAAAACAACAAAATAGAATAAAGTCTATTCATGCGTCTAGCGGGCGCGTGCAATAGCTGGTCGTTTGCATTTTCAACACGTGGAGAAAAACATTATGCTTTGTTTCCATTTCTCAATCGGTGGACTTCACAAAATTTTTATACTTACCGGAGAAAAACACACTAAAAACCTCCCTCTTCCATTTGTGTAAAAATTGCACAGTTAATTTTTACTATTTAAAAAATCACAAAAAAAAAAAAGAAGAAGAAAAAAAGATTGGTGTAAATGCTCTAAACATACCTTAAACGTGAGACTAAAAATTTAAAGTTTTATATTATATTTTTTAAAACACCATATTATATACTTTTACATTTATTACCATTACACATTATTTTATACAATGCATAATTAGATAGATACTGAATATTATATAATTGTAATTTAACATTTTGTTACATAAATTAGCATTTTATGGGTGACAATTGCAATAGTACTTAACATTTTATTTTTTAAAATACTAATGATACATTTAAGAGCGCGTATACTTCTACTTCTTTGATCAAAACATTGAGGAGAATATAAAAATTAATATTATACTATTCCTTTGATGTAGCATGTTATAATTTTTATTTTCTTTTTTTTATTTATTTCATATTAATAAAATTAAGACATTTGATAAGAATCATGCCATTTTTCATATGAGATTACATCTAATACAACTTTTTAACCAGTTTCTTAGCTGTAGTAGTTTGTTGTTGTTCATTTTTTTCATCAGTTGCCAAGAAAATAACCGACTAATGGCCAACAAAGCCCCTATAGCTCAGTGGTAGAGCGTCAGTCTTGTAAACTGAAGGTCTGTAGTTCGATCCTGCATGGGGGCAATTTTTATGCCGAATTGGGTTGGTTTACTGGGTAAAGAGAGCACACTTTGAGTAGTAATTGAAGGGTGACAAATTGGGATGGTTACGGTTTTAGTTCCATTTCTATTTTCTACAATATTCCATTTAGTTCAAATCGCGATCATTCCTACCTATCATACACGCACAACCCAATCTTCAAATTCAAATTATGATTTTGTTTGCTCGTGGCATTTTAAGGAAAACAAATAAATGTTCACTTCAAGCTTTGCCCACACTTTGATCTACAGGAAAGCTGGCAATCACTACTCGAAGATGCACTCTAGGTGAAACTCGCCTTATCACCCTAACCCGACAAGGATAAATCACCCTTGTCCAGGCTAGTAATACACAAGAGGTACATAAAAAGAAAAAAAAAAAAAGTTTGGTGTGTATCCTAGAACTATCACCTTATTCTGTTTGGACTTCAGAAATAATTAGCAGAACCTCCCACCAAAGAAAATCTAGGGGTGTGCTCACTGTATTCAACTATGGCTGATGGAGGAAGACGACCGGTGCAGATCTCATGAACAGTGGAAAAAAGAGGGAACAGCTCCAACCATCCCCGATATCTTAGAACCTCGTACACTTCTTTTGCTGTTGACACGCCCTACATTATAAATGCGGCACAAGAATAAAAGGAAAGATCAATGGTGATCTCCAATGTCCATGGGATCTACTATATTAATCTGAATGTGAAATGGTGATCTCCTTCATAAGTTATTCATATGCAGTATTTTTTGTTAATGGTTCTTTTCATGTTCTTGGCAAGAACAGTTCAATGTACCCCATAGCAGTTTGGTGTACCTGGAGTTTTTGGCCCTGCAACATCTCGGCTTCAAGTTCATCGAAAGACCTATGCATACAGGGGTGATATATAAGCATCAGCATACAATGTAACCTTCTAATTACTTCATTGTGGACAAATACACTATAATGCAGACCTCTTTCCCCCGTTCTTTGCAAAAGCATCGGCACATTTCCTGTTTCTTCCTCCTACTGCGTTTCAAGGCACATGATCACATACCATAATTGCACCGGGAAAGAATTGAGTTTTTGTTTATACTTACAGCAAGTAGTAATCACATCTGCTACACCGCAGCTCTCAAAAAATGTGCTCTCTTTAACAGATGGGAATAGCAATTTGGAAAACGCCTTCATCTCTCTCAACCCAATTCTCATTATTGCAGCCTAGTAGACATTTGAAAAGGGCTGATTTTAGGAAATTAATAGAGGTGTAAGTTAAACAGGAATGGGAGCAAAACCATTAAACGATTTCTATCTTCGCGCCATTACCTTTGTGTTGTTTCCCATCTCCAGGCCGTCAACAAATCCTATCATGTCAGCAATGGAATAAAATGAAGAGGGAATCCATAAGTTGCAAATGAAAAGGGAACAGCACAAGCATATATACCTGCTGCCAAGGCCACAACATTTTTTAGGGTACCACATAGTTCAACCCCTTCGACATCTTGGACCTGGTGAATTGTCCAATGAAAACTCTAGATAAGATCACTGGATCTAAACACTATGATACGGCTTGCTATTAACTAATGTTCAAATGCTGTATGTACTCACAGCTGAGACCATAAAGTACGGCGTATTGAATAGCTGAACCCATTTTTGTGCAATCTCTTTGTTTTCCCTGTATCCTACTGTTGCTTCACTGAACTTCTCCACTGCAATCTGCATTTATAGCTTGAGTCGTTATCCACACTATTGGCAACTACTACAGGTGAACTAAGCACAGAATTTAAGCAACCTCATTAGCGATGTTTGCCCCCATTAGAACACAGCAGTTAATTCCAAGCTGTTCCGTGATGAGGGTGGAGATCATGCATGGACCCTCCATCTTGACCTCCATCCCTTTAATTAGAGAAATCGCTTCAGCATCTTTCCTAATCTTCCCAACTAACTTCTTGCATATGCCCTCCATGAATTGATGCGGAGTAACAAACACTAGCATATTAGCATCTCGCGCTGCAGCACAGTTTCCCCAGCAAAAGATGTCAAAGCTGTTAATGTTGCACAACATCATATGTTGTTGAATACTACATTAATTCGCTGTACCTGCGTGTTCAAGGTCAGGGTCGGCAATAACGTTCTTACCAAGCTGAATACCGGGTAGATACTTAACATTCTCCTGCACCAAAATTTGGGAGATGCCCTCCCCATATTAGAGTTAACAAAGATTGCAGGAGGCATAAGTAAACGACAAATAAGCCGAGGAGCATACATTGGTTTTGTTGATGACCTCGGATAGTTTCTCACCAGTTGGAAGCACCTCCTCGAATACCCACATCCTCACTTCATCTAAAACAGAGAAATACCCAAAATTCAAGTTCGGATCGATATTACATTATGATTTACGGCACTAAAGGGTAATACTAAGTTGGCAGTTTGGGCTGGTAATTTCGTCGAACAGTATACAGTCAGAAAAGAGAGAAATGCAAACCGTGGAAAGAGTTGAGCTTGAGGGTGTTGGATGCAATGAGCTTAGCGGCGACACTGCCCCAGTTACCGCTGCCAACAACGGTGACTCTCGATTTGTTGTTGTCCGGTGCTCCGGCGGCGTTGCCGGACGAAACATTGGCATTGGTTTCTCCGTCCAACTGCTTGGAATCTCTCGAGGGAGCCATGAAGAGAGAGATTAGAAAGGAGAATGGACGAATTGAGTAGAGAATTCAGAGAAAAGGGATATATAAATGGTGGATGTCGGGCGGAGAAGGCAGGCACGTACCGAGAGTAACAATGCGTGTGGATGTGTGATGCTAAATCCGGCGATCTGCCCTATGAATGAATGAAGACGAAATCAATCTCTTTCCATCCAACCATCCATTAAAACAACATTATTGCCGTTTTCTCTTTCGAAAATTCTAAGGTTTGGCTAGACACTTTGATTGCAATTTTAATACTGAAGTTTTAACTTTTAAGGAAGATAGAAAACAAGTGCTCGCAGTTGAAATCCAAAAAGAGTTACATTTCTTATTGTACATATAGTAAATGAAAGTATGAGCTCGGTTGATTAGGCAATTGGCTCAGTAACCACCCGCTTCTAGATTCAAGCTAGTCTGGTCAAACAATTAGCTCGATAACCATTAACCTTCTAGGTTTGAGTCGATTAGCAATTACCTAACAAAAAATACTACTCCGCAATACAAATTCATGTGATAAGTTAGACACGAGAAGTCGAGAAAATGGAATGAAAAAAAAAAAAAAAAAAAAAAAAAAGAATGCAATTGTGTGTATTGATGCTCTCCACTAGTCCACTCTTCACCAGCTTACAAAAAATGCCCCTTGGATTCTGCAAGCTTTAAGGAGCTCTGTCGAAGGGCTTAGTATCATTGTAACATGTCTCCCAGACAGCTTCCATGGCATCTCGGGCAGCAGTTTCCGAGAAGTGAGGGGTCAGTTCCTTTATCACTCGTCGCTTCACACACTCCTTCATGAGTTAGAATAGAACAAAAGTTCGTCAGAAACTAATAGGGCCAAATTGACATGTATCATAAAGACGACAAAGTTGTAACTTGTAAGGCCATCTACCTAGGATAATTCTACATGACAAAGTTTCTAACCAAAAGGGATGAAAAAAGAGATCAATTACAAATCGAGTTACTTCCAACTACCATCAGACAAAGCTAATGCGTGTACAATAGGTCACACCATACCATAATAAAGGAAAAAGGTTAAAGTATTGGCCGATTAAAAGAATGTTAAGTAACCAGACAGTAGCATAGTTAACTCACCTGTTCATGACCCCTTATCTTTAAGTTGCCTCGAAGGAACTCCCTCTTGTAATGACAATCACCGCTCAGATGGTTTGCTCTAATCTAAGATAAGTAGGCAAGGAAAGTCGGTATAATAAACAGAAGAACAGAAGCTTAAAAGGGTTAGACTCAAATTCAAACCAAAAGAGCAGTGTTTCGATGACAAACCTTACTGCAAGCAAGATGAGCGCAATCAGTCCAGTCTATATTTGCACGACAGTCATCATATGCATGAATGAGTGCGTGGATGACCACTTGGTTTACCTCGTCTTGAATGTTCATGTGGTTGCTACATACAACTACCTGAATAAAGCAAAGCCACCCGGGAATGTACCTCAGAATACAATCCAATCCAGTAAAAACACCATAAGGATTCAGTGCATAATGAAACCGGATAGATAAGCAAACAATTCTAAAAGTTGAAGACCTAAGCATCTGTTGCAACATTTTTTAGAACAGACACTTACACCCGCATATTTTCAACTAATGTCCAGCCCCGCCCCCCCCCCCCCCCCCCCTCATTCTGTATCTATAAACCTACATTGCCATTTAGGAAAAAAGCCTACAGAATTTGAGAACCAATAACTGGCAAATTTGGAAATCGAGATTATTAGCAGTATTCAGCAACTGTTTAACTGAGTGATATTGGAGTTAAACGTGATCACTACGAAGTGGAATGTGCAGAACTAATATGTGAATGGATTTAAGCAATGACTACAAAAACAAAAGGAAATGAAACAGTAAAAAGTAAAAACTAAATGGTTATGATGGATGAATATGATAGGGTGAGGATAATTACCCCTTCGCCGGGAACATAACCGCCACCGACGCTCTGATCGCAGTGTATAGCCTTAAAGAATTTCTCACCAACGCCGCAACCAGCTTTCTCCATATGCTCCCTCAAAAACTTCACCATTGGAGCTGGAGTGCATATCACAGTTGAAAATGGAAACGAAAATACACATTTGCGCACATGTCAGAATCCAAAACCTTAAACCCTACAAATTATATTAAAAAATTCTGAAAATTAAGAGAGGTAAAAATCATGATAGATAGTTTACTTCTAAGGCTCTTTTGAATCATGCCTTGGCATTCTTCCACCGTCTTTCCGCCTTTCACAGCAGAAGACTTGCCGTCGGAGGCGATACCGGTACCCGCCTCCTTACCTGTTTCCATTGGTTTTGCTCAGAGACGAGCAAGGAGCAGTGATGCCAGTGATTTTCCCAGTTGAGCTTTTTCGGGCCGGGTGCTTTAATTTCAGCCCAATTGGGCAATAGGCCCCAGGGACTCATTAGGCGCAAATTATGCCATGGAATCGTGTTCACCGAGAATGGTGAACACAAGGCAAAACGACATCGTTTTTAGGCAAAAAAAAAAAAATTCGCGGATGTGGAGTTAACGGCGCGCATTTGATCAAATTATGAATTTTCTGTTATGAGATTATGAATTTTATGAAAATTCATAATCTCATAACAGAAAATTCATAATCGCATAACAGAAAATTCATAATCTCACAACTGAAAATTCATAATCTCATAACAGAAAATTCATAATCTTATAACAGAAAATTCATAATCTCATGGTTCCAAAGTGAATGTGTATGCATGATTCCAAAGTGAATGTGCAGGCATGGATTCATAATTTATGAATGTCCGTGATTTCGGATGGGAATATGTTGGCATGGTTCCAAAGTGAATGTGCAGGCATGAATTCATAATTTATGAATGTCCGAAATTATGAATGTAATGACAATTCATAATCTCATAACAGAAAATTCATAATCGCATAACAGAAAATTCATAATCTCATAACTGAAAATTCATAATCTCATAACAGAAAATTCATAATCTTATAACAGAAAATTCATAATCTCATGGTTCCAAAGTGAATGTGTAGGCATGGTTCCAAAGTGAATGTGCAGGCATGGATTCATAATTTATGAATGTCCGTGATTTCGGACGGGAATGTGTAGGCATGGTTCCAAAGTGAATGTGCAGGCATGAATTCATAATTTATGAATGTCCAAAATCTTTGTTCACCTCAAATTAAAGTGAAACCGCAAAATGTGAAAATAAAGAAGAAAAGTCACGCAATTAAAAAAAAAAAAAAAAAAAAGATAACGGTGTACTAACACCGTTGGAACCGTGTTCACCATTCTAACGTCTGCTCATTAGGCAAATTATTGCTTAGACCATGATTCAAAACCACATCGTTAAATTTTAGAGCATCCACATCAGTGGATATTAGGGAGATAATGTCAGATGAACTATTTTTGGGTGGGGATAATAACAAATGTGGGGTGGGGTTATTTGGGGAGATATTTGTCCTGCAAGTTAAGGGTTAATGTCAGAAAAAAACAAAAAAAAAAAAAACAAACAAACACTGGCTGTGCGCAAATGCACGCGCCCGTGTAGCGCGTCAGGCACGCTGACAGCGCGCCTGACGCGACAGATTTTTATTATTATTTTTTTTTTCAAATTTTGTTTTGTTATTTATTTTTTCTTTTTTTTTCTCTACCCTCCCACATTCTCTTTCCTAATCACTCTTACATTATCTCCCAAATCTCCCCAACTAATGTGAATGCTCTTATGAGTTATAATAATATACTTTATGAGTTTATATATTAGAATAATGAAACTTCTAAAATAAGATAATGTATTTTATGAGTTAGAATAATATAATTTGCGCGTAAAAGAAAAAAAAAAACGAAATGTCCTTTTTAAACCGTGGTTCAGACAGCTGCGTGGACTATACTATTGGATGCATTACTACCCATTCTGAACTTGCTGTACTTGCTGTATTATTGGCTATTAGCCTTAAATGAGAATCAAAATCATAATTAAACCTCTTCAATTAAAACAAGTATGATCTATGGCCAAAGAGCCTCACTTAACAACATCTTCAGTCCTGTAAAACACCCATCTATCTAATCTAACCAAAGAAACTCGGTAATCCTTTATCCGTTCACATCAGTTACAATACAAGCACATTCAAGCTTCTTCACCTATGAAGAGCAACACCCATTACTGCAAAATGAGATTTTAAAAGCTCATTCATCAATGCAGTTTCACTCTCAAATCTATTACTACTCTTCATTGGGTAATTCAGACTAGACTAATTATTCATTTGGTACATGAATTGATTGCCACCGTTCAATAGCTTGAATCCATCATAAACCGAGTTAGGAAGTAAGAAAATTGTAATGATTCAAGGAGCTTTGTCAAAAGGCGCTGTATCATTGTAACAAGTATCCCATACAACTTCCATGGCGATTGTAGCAGCAATTTTCGAGCAGTTAGTATTAGTGCCCGTCATTGAATTAACCACTCTTCGCTTCACACAAGCCTTCACAAGAAAGGAATAATAAAATAACATGAGTTTAAGTGCCACGTACCAGATAAACAGATTAGGAGGGTAAAGTCCATTTGGGGATTAGATAAGACAGATGAATCAATATATAGACCTTACTTGTTCATGACCAATTATCTTAAAGTTACCACGCAACAACTCTCTCAAGAAATGACAGTCCCCACTGAGATGGCTGGCTCTAATCTGAGATAAGTTAGAACAACAAAAAGAATATCAGTAACGGAAACAAAATTCATCTGCGACGACTAGTTACATGAGAAAAGCATAATAGGAACTAAGAAATTTAAGGTGTGAAATGAAAAAACGAGAAGCTTTAAAGCTCAGTGCCTCAGAATGTTGGAATTTTATAAAGTTACCACTACATTAAACCCCAAGTCAATATGATTATACAAAGTTAATAGTTAATAGCACTGTGCTCTTATTTGTTAAGCACATGTAATAAAGGCTTAAAGCATTTCTTAAATTCTGCAGGTCCTGTATTCACACTATGCTAGATTAGCAGCTGTTTCCTGCAGATACTTTGTTCCTGGGTTTGATTCAATCAAGGTAATGCTTAAATTTGTATATGATAGTTAATTGAATTGTCTTAAAAAACAATCTAAAGCAGGGCATATGCATATACCTCTGTGCAAGCTCGATGAGTACGATTTCCCCAGTCCATATTTTTAGCACGACACTGATCATATGCATGGATGAGCTCATGGATAAGCACTTGGGTTACTTCATCTTGAAATCTCAAATTGTTTGCACATACTTGAATCTGAAACCAAACGCAAAACCAAAGCAGGAAATAAGTGTTAGCTGGATTAAAACCATTCACGGCGATTGCCGGCGATTAGCTTTGAAATTATGGCCAGTTACAGAGAGGATAATTCATAATTGTAAATGCGAACGAAAGGCGGCGGTGATTTTACCCCACCGTTGCTCTTCGGACAGAAAAAGCCAGACATCGGTGTATCGCAACGGACGGATTTGAAGAAATTATCGGTAATTTTGCAGCCCGCTTTCTCCAATTGCTCCCTCAGAAACTTAACTTTTGGATCTGGAGAACGTTCAGCGTTAAAGACATAAGCAGGCACGAAGATAAAAACTGAAACCCTAAGCCCTAGCAAAACGCAGTGGATGAAGACTAAGCAAAAGGGGTGAGGAAATGATAACGAAGTGTAGTTAACCCTGTAGGCCTTTCTGGATCATGACCTCGCCTTCCGCCACCGTATGACCGCCTCTCACGCCGGACCACGCGGCCGTCCCGGGCGGTCGATTGTGCTCCATTGCTGATGTTCAGGAGATGGACAGAAGACACGACCCAACATAATGGACTCCAGCAATTATATTGTGGACCATGGTCCACAAAGTTTTGTAGACCATAGTCTAAAATCGTCGTCGTTTCTTTTAAGAAAAGAAAGCATCTAAACTGATATCTGTAGTTGTGTTGAAATGAAACTGCAAGGTATACAAAATGAAACTGAGTAAAGAAAGCATCTAAACTGATATCTGTAGTTGTGTTGAAATGAAACTTCAAGGTACACAAAATGAAACTAATTTTGTTTCACTGAGGTTCAATCTCATAACCTCTCACATAGAAGATGTCACTACATGTCATCTGAGCACCTGGTGCTTGTTCAATCCTTATAACTTTAATTGATAAAATATCGCAATAAAACAAATCAGCTTTGATTACCCATGATTGAAGATCCAAATAAAAAAAAAAAAAGAGATTTAAACTCGTAACTTTTTAATTACAAGTTTGTATCTTTATTCTTATTGAATGAGTTACCCCATAACTTTTCATTTTTGTAGGTTTGAGAATGAGTAAACCATTCTATGTTTTGTTTGGAGACAATTTTCTCTGAAGACAAATGGGTGAAAATGCTATTTTTGATCCGCAAAACTCTGGTGAATAGAGGATAGCCACAGAGTCCCTACAAACCAGCAACCAGTTTTACCGTACGCTCAGCCATCTCCACGGCGGCTCCGCCATATAAAAGCCACCCAACATTCGCCGTTCGGATCATTCTTTGGCTCTGCAGTACGTATTTCTCGCCCCATTTAAGAGAAGTATTCTGCAATCCCAAAGAGTCATTAATAAAATTAAAGAACATAAAAAGAAATAAAATATGGCTCGCAAGGTGGTTGTTTTTGCTCTACTCTTCGTCGCCCTTGCTGGGTTGGCTTCCGCGGCCACCGCCCCAAAAGGCTCCCCGTCGTCCTCCCCATCCTCCGCCCCTGCGGGGGCCCCGAAAAAAGCCGGCTCCCCGTCCAGGGCTCCCTCGTCAAAGGCCCGGGCAGGGTCTCCGTCGAAGGCCCGGGCAGGGACTCCGTCAAAGGCCCCGGCGGGGTCTCCGTCAAAGGCCCCGGCCGGATCACCGTCTGAAGGCCCTGCTGGATCCCCGTCTGAAGGCCCGGCCGCCGCTGAATCTCCGTCTGAAGGCCCGGCCGGATCTCCGTCAGAAGGCCCCGCTGCGGGCGCACCTGACTCTGACTCCCCCGCGGGGTCCCCGGATTCGGATCCCTCATCACCACCAAAACCCGCTTTAGGGCCGTCAGATGACTACGACGATTCGGAAGAAGGACCTGCCGAGGCTCCCTTAGATGACTACGATGGCGCCGCTGCTTTGAAGGTATCGGCAGTTGTCGGAGCTGCCGCCGTCGTCGGGTTCTTCCTGTGACCGAATGAGACCACCGGTGGTTGTTCGTTCTACACAGTACGTAGTTAGTTGTTTCTTGTTAGTCATGCATCATGCATTATTAACGTTTTTGGTATACCTTTTGGCTTTTGCATATGTAAGGGGAGAACCAATTAATATTCAAAGATTAAATTTTGTTCTGGTGACACCATCTCCAACATTCAATTCTTTGTGCGTTCGATCAAAACTTTTGTGGTGAATTTAATAGTTGTCTTTTGAGGTACGCGCTCATACTTTCCATGCATGCATGAAGCTTTATCATCCAAACATTGTTCCCACAACCTTGAATTTATAATCTCAAGGCTCTCCATGTTCTGACTTGTTCTGACTTGAGAGTGCATCTAACTCAAGTGAGATGCTAGACTTTTGTTTATAGTGCACAAAGAGTAACTCGACTGAGATGCTAGACTTTTGTTTATCGTGCACAAAGAGCTTTTATCATCCATATATTTGCTATTTGATCCTAAACATGTTGGGTTGATGACACATTATGTTGCGGACACAGTTCCAAAATTTTTCATAATTATGAATATATAGTTCTATAATTATGAACATATAATTCTGTAATTATGAAGAGATTCAATAATTATGAAGTTCAAAAATTATGAATATATAGCTTTATAATCATTAACATATAGTTCAGTAATTATGAACATAGAGTTTTGTAATTGTGAACATAGAATCGTGTCTACCTTCTATACTGTAGATTCATAATTTCTATACTGTAGATTCATAATTTCTATACTGTAGATCCATAATTTATAAACCTTTGATTCATAATTTAAATCTAGTAGATTCATAATTTATGTATTGTATAGTTGTTATCAAATTATGAACATATAGTTCTATGATTTGTAAAAACAGAGTTTAATAATTAGAATCTAAAATATAAATGTTTTATGAGTCTACAATATAGAATTTATAAATATATAATATAGATATTATGGATATGGAATCGTGTCTACCTTCACGCAAAACATAATTTGCCGTGGGTTGATTAATTGGGCCTCATCCCCACAATGCCCTATGGGCTGGTATTTGTTGGATCAAGCTCTCTATTTTAACCTTTTTGGAATAATTACATCACTACATTTATTTATTTTTTAAAATCGGTAGGTAGTAAAAGAACACACACAAGCATTTTGTTAAAATCATGTAATAACGAGCACAACGAGGTAAATGTGTAGAACACAAGTAGTAATCTCCAAAACTGATGGACCCATTCTACGAACACTTAAAAGTACATGGGCCAATGCATATGTACATCAATCAAATATCAACATGGTCTAGATGCCTGGCTCCCGTTTTATGACAGAGGGGCATACTTATTATTATTATTATTATTATTATTATTATTATTTTGTGATGAGAGAAATATCCACCATTATTCATGTATAATTGGTGTGTTGTAAAAATTGACTTAGATGCATGTTGGGCATTAGTGCTTATTGGTCGATGTAATTTCAGCCTTATGCGACTTTTAATCGGCTAAACGACTAATCGGTTGACTAGGCGTCGACTTAGCCGAGTTTAGCACCTAACTTGGTCGAGTTTTTTTTTTTGCCTGCTCGGCTATTTTTATTCTATAATTATATAGTCACGTACTCAACTAACTATCTAACATATGTCTAGTTTGACTAACGCATAATGCCCATTGTGTATATAATTGAATTAATGGCTTTCTGGTACTAAAATATTTATATATTGAAGAAGCAAATCCTGAATAATTTGGGAGCATATGAAAAACTTAGTACACACCATTACATAGTAGCGATAAGTTTCCTATATAACTCAAATAAAAAACTTTGGATAGCTCTTTAATTTAACACTGTGACCAAAGGTGTTACATACCCAATACACAATTACACACACCTGCATTCGGCACAAAAAGTATCTGTCATCCTGCAGTAGATTAGACACAATACCATGTATTTTAACACTGTCGTTGTCTGTAAATATAATGTTACATAAAAACATGATCTATTTATCTTGAATTTTACTATAAATACTTTCAAATTCTATTCCTTTATTTCTATTTCGTGATATGATAATCGAAAATTGATTATTTTTATCATGTGGATCCACACTAAAGTATATATAAGAGGGAATAAAACTATAAAAATTGAGAGTATAAAATGGGAGTCAATCAAATATTTTACATTTATTTTAGGTCCCCAGAAAATAAGATATTTTGGTTTTAGGATCCCCCAATCTCCCTTAATCGCAATCCCCCTTGTTTGGATTACCCACGCTATCCCCTTAGCAGCGTAATCCGGATAACACCAAAAATCTGAGCTCTGCTCCAATGATCTTCGTCCACGTGTACTGTGGGCCCACGGGGATGGTGACCCCACCAAAAAGAGCAGAAAAGTTGCAATCTCCTCCCCCACAAAGTCTACACTTTTTGTGACCTTTTTGAATGTGATTAATGATAGATAGGCAGATAGTGTGAAGCGAAGTTGCAGAATGAGCAAGCAGAGTGGCAGTGGCACCGCCATGAACAACAAGAAACGCCGAGCTAAACCGTGTAGATCCGCCCGGAAAGCCCGAACCCGGAGGCCCAAGTTCCTCAGCCTCCGCCTCCAGCTCGCCGGTGATAATAAGAGCGATGGTGGTGACTGCAAAACGACGTCGGATGGGCGGCCGCAGCTGGACTTGTTCCCTCTGCACCCGGAGAATTTGACGGAGGAGAAAGACGCGGCGGCGGAAGAGAATTACGTGGCGGCGGAGTACAATTTCTTCTCCGCCGCGGAGAGCGGCGCCACCACGCTCACCGGACTCCTCGGCGCCCCCTCCACCTCAGCTTCTTCCGGGGAAGACTACCGCACCGCCGCCGGCGGAAGCGGAAACAAGGCGTTCTCCTCGTCGGATTCCCTGCGGTACATTTCCGGGTGCCGGGGAGCGGCGGCGTTGGCGCGGACGGCGCTGCGGAGCAAAGAGCGGAAGCCGTGCGAGGAGGAGAAGTGGGTGTGCTACTCGGAGGTGGTGGAGAACGAGCGCAAAGACGAGGAAGTCACCAGCAGCTCCGCCTCCGATCTCCGGCGACGCCGCCGGCTGTCGTTGAAGCTTGATTATGAAGAAATCATCACCGCTTGGTCCAACCGCGGCTCTCTTTACATCCAACCAGAGTGCCCCCAGACCGTGCCGGACATCATCCACGACGACTTTTTCTCCGGCGGCTTCTATGAACCATCGTCCCACGTAAGATCTCCCTTCCCTTACTATATACTCAAACATCGTCCTACCTATGATTTCTTATTTCTCTTCGATTCTGTAATCAAATACGGAGTAATAATAATTTTAAAAGAATGGAATAGTAATCATTAATTGTTTATTAGTTGCATATCTATAATTCTATAATTATATATATATATATATATATATATATATATATATATATATATATATATATATAATCACTCGTGCAGTCATCATACTAAAATAATCATAATTTTCTCTTCTCATATCATCAGCACCGTTTGCCATTTGGGTGTTTAACACTGTACTGTAGCCATGGGACCCAGTCCCCAGTTGCACTTTTTAGCTTTTCTTGGGTCCACCACCTCGTGCTGTAGCGGTGTAGCCCCTACAAGTAAAAAGTTCAGTATATTCTATATGAAAAATATGACGTTTACTCTATTTTCTACTCACAATTTTTATTTAATACATTAAATCTTAATGTTGATTTTTATATTGAGACATATTAAAAAATAATTTATTAGTGTCCACCACATCAGTAAGTAAAATTTAAAAGTCCATGTAGTATGACTTTTTTAGTACTATTAACTATATTACAATTGATAGTATTTGTTTTATATATTCTCTATTGCTGCGGACCAAAAAGTCCATACTCCACCACCAGGGTTCGATTTGAAAGTCCATGTACTCTTATTTTCTACTCTCAATTTTTAATCCCTATAACGTGACATGTTTTGATTACTTAATATAATAGGGGATCATGATTTATATCCATTTATTTTTTCCTCCAATAAAATTTAAACATAAGTGAAAATAAAAGTTGGGAATAAGTTTGTGGAGTCTAATTAATAATTTTCTTTTATTAAATGTCAAAAAGAATGTACAATAACATTTAAATTTGCTGGACAGTTAATTTGTAATTATTAAACATAATTATTTAAACAATAACATATTTACCTTTTTTTATATGAATCAATGGATTATTTAGAATTATTTACTTCGTTGGGGTCTAGACTAAAGTCAAAAAATAAATTTTACTCCGGCTACACAATTAGATAATATTTATGATTTATCACTTATGATTTGCTAATTATTATATAAAAATATGTTTATATACCCTAAAATAGTAGTTGTTAGAGTTCATATCACATTTAGTATGTTACTATTATTAAACTAGTATACTTTTACACATGTCTAAATTATTAAATAAATATATTTTTGAAAATAATTATTAAATATATATTATATAACATTGTTGGTACTGTCGGCAATGCAAGTTGATTTCTAGCTTTTATCGACGGTACATTTAATGTCGGTGTCGTGTATGCAAACGGTGTTAATAATGTTGGGAAAAGGACAAAAATGATGAATTGAATGGAGTTTGTAACCGCGGTGTTGGGTTGCAGGGGACATGGGAGAGGAATCTGAGTTTGTATAGGGTTCCAGAAATGGTGGGGAGTAGTGGCGGTAAGTGCCGAAACAATGGGGAAACGCCGGCGGAAGATGGCGGAGATGAAGAGGCGGCGAAAGAAGCTGCGGCGGGGCAAACGCACAGAGCGGCTAGCGTTTTGAGATACAAGGAGAAGAGGCAGAACCGACTCTTCTCTAAGACAATTCGATATCAAGTTCGTAAGCTCAATGCTGAAAAACGCCCTCGCGTTAAGGTAATCTATATATCTATTCATTCTTATCTACAAGTTCCCACATCATATAGATTTACCTAGTTAATAGCATTAGCTAATTGTTAAAATATATTTGGTAAATTAATTAATAATTAATTACATATAAAATGACTTTCTCAACAAAGTTAATGAAAAAAAAAACTATTTTTATTGAATTTTAGTGATTCGAAACGAAAAATTAATTAATAAAACACCCATATTGATTGTTTAACCAAATCAAAGAGTTAATAAGTGGTCAAATAAACCAAAATTAGTTGATATATAACATTATAACCTTGTTTGGTAAAATATTTAACTTACCCGTCATTTTTTGGCTTATTTGATCACTATTAGTTGTTTGTTTTAGTTAAAAAAATCAATATAAATGTTTGGTTAATAATTTTTTTGTAACTCCAAAATACTAAAATTCAAAAAGCTACTCAAAAATATTTTTTTAATTAACTTTTTGAGAAAAGAAATTATATCAAAACAAACTATCACCCTAACAACTAATTTACCAAACATATTTTATAATCAGCTAATGTTATCAACTAGTCATACCCTCTAACAGCCATCAGTTGACAATCATTTACCAAACAAAACCTCTACAAATTATGTTCAACTTTTTATTTTTATTTTTATTTGTGGGTATTGTTGATTATTGACATTAACGGATTATTATTTTTTGATGAATTGTAGGGAAGGTTTGTAAAAAGAGATTGAAGTGTTTTAATTTATGATACGATCACGACAGAAGTATGAAGTATCAATCACCATATCAGTAGAGACCATCCAAGTCATATATTGTGAATTCCTAAGAATTTAAGGATGAGCTGTACGTGTTTAAAGACACTTTTGTTTCTTGAAATTTTGTGTTTCACATTGCAAATTGTAAAGGAATGACTGACAATAATATAAACCATGTGAAATAAACTACGAACTACGTCAAGAAAATGCATTAAGACTGTTAGTCTATCTATGGAACATGATATACATTGCAAAGTGAAACACATACATACAAGTTCAATTTCAGTATATTAAAAGTTCATTTTTATGTATTATATGTTCATTTTGTAACAGTTTACTTTTTGTTTATTGCAAATATATTTTTAATGTACTTCATATGAATGAAACTTTACTACATTAAAAATGAACTTTTGGCCTATTAAAAATAAATATGTATTAATTATCCACTTCATAATGTGAATTATGATTCACATCTTCACGGTATAATTTTTTTTATTTTTACAATAAAATAAATTAATTTTGATTATCTATAGTTGATGAGCTCAAATTAATTAATAAAGTAAAGAGTTAAACTTATAACATTGTGATTATAAACGTGAATTTCCTATCATCTTGGCTGGAGTTACCCGCATAATTTGTCCCTATCTATCCGTTGCTATAAATTGTTGTAAATTAGTGGGCTTCTTGTTGGGCTTAATGATAATCTTCTTAGTGGGCCAAGACTCGACTGTGCTCAACTACTTTTCCTTTGAAATGGGGTGTCTTTCTAATAGTTATGCCGTGAAACCGAATTTACCCGGCATGGTGCATACGATGCAAAACGACACCATTTTAATTAAAAATACGCGTCCCACTTTAAAAAAAAATTTAGGTTCGATTCTCGGCAATAACATTATTGTGGATATATAGTTATGAATTTCTGGATATATAGTTATAAATTTGTGAATGTATAGTTATGAATTTATGGATATTTAGTTCATTCATTGTAGATATTTAATTCATTCATTGTAGATATTTACTTCATTCAATCACTGTGAATATATAGTTATGAATTTATGGATATATAGTTATGAATTTATGGATATATAGTTATGAATTTCTGGATATATAGTTATGAATTTATAGATATTTAGTTCATTCATTGTGGATATTTAGTTCAATCATTATGGATATTTAGTTAATTCATTGTGGATATTTAGTTCATTGATTTTTACTTCATTCATTCATTCATTCATTGTGGATTTTTACTTCATTCATTCATTCATTGTGGATTTTTACTTCATTCATTCACTGTGGATATATAGTTATGAATTTTTGGATATATAAAAATGCTATTGCCGAGAATCGAACCTGATTTCTTCTTTAAATGGGACGCGCGTTTTTTTTAAACCAAAACGGCGCCGTTTTGCAACCGTATGCACCTTGCAAGGTGCATTCGGTTGCACAGCATAATTCGCGGGTGTCTTTGGGGCCGGTCGTTTTATCGTGGACCGCGGTGCATAATTGATTATGCACCGCGTATCAAAACGGCGTTGTTTCGTTAAGAAAAGAAACATCGCCTTGTTAGTGTTAACAGAGTGACATTACAGTGTATCTAAATCGACACTGCCTCACGTATTATTTTTATATTATCAAATGAAACTACAGTTGTATCAAAATGATACTGTAATTGTAGTGAAATGAAAATGCAATATATATAAAATGAAACTGAATAACATTTCACATATTTGAGTGTATATTGTACAATGAAGCTGTAATTATATCGAAATGATCATGGAATTGTGTTTTAATGAAACTATAGTGTATATAAAATAAAATTAAATAATATTTTCACATATTTGAGAGTATAAATATTGAATGAAACTATAGTTATATCCAAATGAAACTGTAGTTGTGTTGAACTGAAACTGCAGTGTATACAAAATGAAACTAAAGAACAGAATTATTTTTTGTGCAACGACGCGAAACTGATTTCGTTTCTTTACATTAAATAAATCGACGTCGTTTTGATGTGCGGTGCATAATCGATTATGCACCGCGATGCACGATATATAACCAATGAAAGAATGATAAATCACAAATTATTCAATTTTAATCGACGAAAAAAAAAAGAAGATAAATCAAGAACATAAACATCTTCCAACATTTTGCTGTCCTCCACGACTCAATCAAGCTAAGTTTCATATATTTCACTACTGTTGTTTTCAGCACCGCAACACAACCAACAAAATAACAAAATTCTTTATAACGAATTATACTATAATAACCCAACATTTTACTTACCTCTGCAATCACGACAAAAGTTTATTTTATTTCTACCCGTTCATCGAACAAAATAACAAAACGCTCGAATCTTCTAAATTAAACTACAATCTATCAAACTCATTCATACAAATTTGAGATTCACAATTATAATTAGCAGACTTTAATCAAGAGGAAAATACTTTTCATAACAGAGTCAAAATTCAAAAGAATTTATATATTTAAAACCCAAAAAAAAAAAAACAGGAAAGAGAGAGAAATTGAAAGACTGAAGATGGAATAACCGTCTTACCTTGCCGAGTGCGTAGAGAGAGAGAGAGAGAGGGCGAAAGCATGATGGAGTTTGTTGGCAGAAGAGCAGAGAGTACAAAACTGCGCATACCCGATCGAATTGAAGGAGGTTTAATTTCATTATTCTCTCTCCATACACATATGGGCTATGTTCACTTGTGCTCTCTCTCTTCTGTCAACACCGCCGCAGTCGCCATCGCCGCCGCGCCGAGGTCAATTGCGGAGCTGGAGTATCGTATCCACTACGGTTTAATTAGGATCGGAGAAGGTATATATTTGGTTGTTTAATTTGCTGTGTGAAATAGGCGGTTTTCATGTCAAACTGCCGAGGAAACTTCTACATTGATATGATATTTTAGCCAGGCGATTTGAAAGGGAAATCAGGGGTACGTTGTCACCTCCCTACTGGCTAGTGGCTACTCGTCATATTCAAGATCATAGACTTGTTACAAAGTTGAAAACAATAATAATTTTTTTTTTTCTTTTGTTTTTGTAATAATTATTAGTTAAAATATACAATGGAATCTTGCAGAGTCGCAGCCAGTAAAATCAGACAGAATAACTTCATTAATTAATTGTATAATAGCCAACAAAATCATACAGAAGAAATAAAATTTAAAAAACTATGCGTGACAACCTGATTCGAGATGTATTTGAAATTTGAAAAATGATTTTTGAAAATTATTGTTCTTGTTTTCAATAGTTTTTTTTATATATATATTTTTTACAATAGTTAAAAATTCTGGTAAAATCTGTAATGAGGTTGCTCTAAAATTTAAAAAATGTGACGGTGGATCTGATCTAAACATAGGCAAAATATTATGGTTAGATCTGTTTCGTAGCGATGACGAATGCATGATGTTGTTTGACAGAGACTGTGACAGCATATTTCAAAGTTGCATGGTCAGTCCAGGCCGAGTATCATCAAGGGCAGGGTACAGCCTACTATACTGTACGTTGCGTAAAATGGCATCAAGTGACACGATGGAGTATCAGTCCGTTTTGCCCTAAATATGTGTTTGAGTGAGTAAAACATGATTCTTGTATCAGAATGTTATAAATTTATTTGTTATGAATATCTTTTTTAGTTAAAATCTTTAATTCTTCACACATATTTTTTAGTGTGATTTATTTATCTTGTGTGATTTAATGGGTATTATATAAAAATGAGTGAACTTTATCTAGTGTATATTTTCGGACAGCTATTATTGATTTCTCTTTTGTTAAAAAAATTATATGTATATATATATAAAATAAAAAAAAACAGTAAATCATATCCCATCACAAACCGCACTAATGTCTGTCGAATCTCCATTGGTAGATATCATCAGAAGTCATCGCCACCTTTCATCCAACCTAAGCAATGGCCCCAACATAAAATTTTATAATGTTGTTATATGATATGATGATATTTATGTTGTTTGAAAGGTCGCATGCATGATGCATTCTTCTTTTCCTCATTTTTCTTTGTTTAAAATATTGTATTTTTTTATTTATAGGATCAGTAAAAATTGACCTTTTAACCCATTTTTAACCATTATAAAGATTAGAAAAATCTTGCATTGCCTATAATCGACCACTTAGTCCCAATGGTCATGTGACGTTTGCCCACTTATATTTGGATAATTGGGACAAGCCAACCCATGAACAAGAAATGATGATCTGACTCAACCTGTATTATGAGCTAGACTAGTCCCTAGTCCCATATTGTAGCATACGATCAATCGTTATGCTGGGGAACCGTGTTTACCTTATAAATGAACACGATTTTATGTTCATAATTACTAAACTATATATTCATAATTATAAAGTTATATATTCATAATTTTTAAACTTCATATTCATAATTATTTAACTCTATGTTCATAATTACTGAACTATATGTTCATAATTATAAAACTATATATTCATATTTTTTGAATTTCATATTCACAATTATTGAATCTCTATATTCATAATCACATAATTATATGTTTATAATTATGTTAACAACTCTATTTCATTATTATAAGATTATATATTCATAATTTTTAAATTATATATTCATAATTATTAATAGTTTTAGAACTGTGTCTACATATCTTACAAGGTGAACACATTTCCATAGCATAATTTGCCCCTTATTATAGCGTATGAACAGACCAGGTCGGGCCTCGAGCTAATTTGGTCCATTAACATTATTACACACAACACCAACCACTTATAAAAGTTGGGCAATTTATATAGTGGATCATGATCCACATAACATTGTAGAGTACCCTGAATTAAAACGACGTCGTTTAGATTTTCAAGTTTTAAAAGATTCTATACGTAGTTTATCATTTCTCATGTTTCAACACATATTTTAATTTATTTTAGGTACAAAATTAAAACTCTTAAATGTACAAAATTTCATAGAACGAGACTCAAAAACTAAATACAAGGCACATACACATGTTATATATTTACTTATTCTAATATCTGATTTATGTAGACAATATATGTCCTATAAGCACATAATTTTATAATACAAGACATAAATTCGTAAAATAAGACACACAATATGTTGTGTGCTACACAACTAATAATCTATTTCAGGTACGGAATTATTGCATAGCATGATACACAGAAACACATAACATAAGACACATACACATGTTTTATATTTACTTTAGTTAAGATACAAAATTGCATAACATAAGGCACAAAAATGCATAACACAAGACACAAAAATGCATAGTACACGATACAAAAGCGCATGTTATATTTACTTTATTTCAAGTATAGAACCCATACGCTTAAGGTACAAAATTGCATAACATGAGACACAGAAACACATAACACAAAACACATACACATGCTTTACAGTTTTTTTTTTTTTTTAAATAGTAACATGAATTGAACAACAAACGGTCGCCGTCAAAATTAAACTTCAAAACTACGTAGTTTAGAATCAGGTCCACGGTATAACGATGGCAAAAGTTGTTGAAAAATTGGTTCAATAAGTAGTTGGTGTGCTCTTATAATTTGTAACCAATATCAATCTGATATCTAAACATCTTCTTAAAAAAAATAAGAGTGAAAGTTCTTCTTATTCTTTATTTATTTATTTTTGTTTGGTGACGAGAAAAATCTGCAATTACTATTAGCTAGCAATGTATCTTCGATAAATTTTCAATTTTGCGTACTAACTTGTAAGCCAAACAATAGAGGTAAATTGCACAAGAAAACTCTATACTACATACTAAATCGAGATGATATTAATAAAAATCAAACTCATAACTTTTTAGTACAAGAATCTTCATAATCTCATGCACTGCACGTATATGTGTATTTATTGTTTTTTTTTAAAAAAATGTAAATATACTTTAAAATTGGAGGATTATATCAATTTTTTACACTTTTCAACCTCAAGCTGGTAGTGGTGGCTTGCCTACTTTTTACAATATATTATCAAAATGATGCACGCATGCATGCGTGGATTAATTAACAAACATTTCGTACGATGTATAAGTAAAGCAACCATCATTAAATCTTAATTAATTACTCGGAGAGTAAAATGGAATATATAATAATCATGCGTGTGGGTGGTAGGTGGAGTGGATGAAATATAATTTCTTGTTAATGTTTTGCAACATAGGGTCTTTCAATGTGATTTAATGTTTATATTTTCTTATGTGGTTTGTGAGTTTATTATACAGAAATGAGTCTACTTCTTTTATGTTTTAAAATTGTGTACACCTTAATTCTTAAGTAAGTAGTGGTTGTTGGATTACCTCCCTATTACATAATTTTAATAATTCAATGTACATCTTAAGTAGTGGTTTCGAGATTCCTCTTCCATCAATATAGATAATAATCATTGGGTCAAGTTCTCGTGCAGCCGTGCTATCACGCATTGTTGGGTATACATAAATGCACTACAAAATGTCCAAAAATGCACCAATAGGTGTGATGCATTTTGTGTGTGTGTGGTGCGTTTTGTGGTGCATTGGTGCATTTTAATGTGGTGCGTTTCTGAACATTGTATTGTGCATTTATGCATACCTAATGGTGCAATTCACATCCACGGAAACCTGGCATGTATGAATAATCATTAATTAAATTTAATAAGCATTGTAATTAACTAATCAAAATGACAAGGACATGCATCAGATAACACGGTTTAGTACTCTGGCAACCCCACAACTTGGGTGATTAAAATCTACATTAATTAACAAGCTGTTAGTTAATTCCTCAACTAGGAGGAGGAACACTCAACATAAAAAACACCAATAATATTGAGGTGGTTAATTAATTAATTATTTTTCTTTCCCAGAGTTTGGAATCCTAATTCGGATTTGGCTGAAGTTAGACACTAATGGTGCGATAAGAGGCACCAACGACGACGGCGACTTGGTCGGCCGGCGAATCAATAAGAAGCTTCCTCTCCTTGACGGCGGGATCTTCTAGAAGCAAAACCTTGTCCTTCTCGCTAACTCCGACCATGTGCAAGTATTCATAGTCTTCCCTCTCTTTACCTTTGTACAACACCCTTTGTTCTTTGGGGTCTAATCCCGTCATCAATGACATCAACATCTTTAGCTCCCCTAATCAAAATATGTCAACACATTATTGAGAAAGTTTTACATTAAAAACATAAATTAAGAAACATAAACGAACGAGTTTATTATATGATGGATTAAACTAGTTAATTGGTTAAATTTAACTATTGGTTTGACTCATCACGTGTATTATGATTTGAATTAACTTATTTTTCCAAACTTGTGAGAATTGCCTGCCTATTGTCTTTCTTTTTCAATTGATCTGTTCAGTATGAATAACATAAACTGGTCAAATATGAATAATCTAAAATGACTTACTTTTCTTTATGACCTTTACTGGTTATTAGGATCGGGTTACATAGTGAGCTTTAATTTACTTTGTGTGTATTTTTGAGTAAGGACGGATTGTGGATTTTTCCGTAAATCAAAGAGTAAAATGAGAGAGAGAGAGAGAGAGAGAGTTATGAAGGTATAGTAGGAATGAAAATGTTGATTGAAGGTAGAGAGAAATTAAAGGTTAATTACCAAAAGTTGAAGTAGCTTGAATGGAAATATGGTGGCATTGGGAGACAGTTGAAACTCTAAGTGTGATGATTTCTTCAGCATTCTCTGCACATTCTCTCTTCTGGACGAGCATGCCGCCGGGGCGCACCTCCCATTTGATTTCGCCACCTTTGTTGGCGGATCCGACGGCGGCGCTCGCGGTGGCGCAGCCGCTTGCTAGCTTTGTTGAGTTGTTTCTGCAGAACTTGATTGACCTTAGTTTCATCATTTTTCCACTTGCAAATTAAAAGCTATTAGATGGTAGCGAAAGAAATTAAAGCTAAGATGATGGATCGACGAAGCTGCACACATATATATACTGCTAGGAGAGTACAGTTATGGCCAACCATAAAATTTATATTAAAAGACAGAGAAGCTCAACTGTCGTTACATGACTACCAAAATATACTCAAAGGTTTTTTTTTTTTTTTGTTTTTTTTGTTTTTTTTTTTTGTTTTTTTTTTTTTTTTGTTAATGATGGTTGAGTGGGTAAAATATAATTTTAATACTAAAAGTAACAAATTCAATTTTTGCCAACATTCTATTGGCTAACTCGATCACTAATGATGTTCTTAGTGGGATTTACTTCTCCTATGATATTTGAAAGGGAATATGTACTCCTCGAGTACACCTCCCTTTGCGTATATATACCATATACTCGCTTCGGTATCTGGCCAGGCCACCGAGAGGAATCATTCCCGACCTTGACCTACCGTTAGTTTGATATGCATGCCCGACTTAAATATGAAGACCGATCTAAAGTGTGGTCCACGATAGGTTTTATTACCTTGAGTTTGACCTCGTCTGAACGATAATTCCGAACAAGGCCACTTAAAGCCTAAGACCTATATTCCTAACTTTAAACCAACCACATCACTCCGTGGATGATCAGGAATTTCACAACACGTGGCTATAGTGACACCGTCCCGAGCCAACCGATTGCATACACGACACGTGTCAATCAAGCATGCCGAGAGCCTGACATGCATGTATCTCATTTCTTCTCCAATAAATACCACATTTAATGCTAAAAAATAGAACCTTTGGGAGGATCGATGTTCACCTACCACACCCTAGTTTGGGACCCTCTAGCCTCACGTTATTACCCGCGAGTCCGAGATTTAAACCAACAAGCTAAGCAGACTATTAAAAGATCCACTACAATCCGATCGACCCTACGACTTGAACGTATTTGAAATACCGCCGCGTGTTACTTATTGAATTTTTTCAAATAGTAACTATATGATTCCCTTATCACCAAATACATATATACTTACAAGTTTCTCAAAAGGACTTTACTTAATTAATAACAATCATAAAATAATATTGGGGACATGATTGTGCCAGCTCCCTTAATCATGCTTTATCTTTTGTCATATTGAATTTATTATATACCTTCAATATATCACCTTTAAAAAAAAAATCAGCCGTCATGTATTTTATTTATTGAGATAATAAACTAAAGTAGCTAATTCAAGACCCAATTAAGTACCTTAGGTCGTTGAACCATCAAAAGTCTCAGCCAACAACATCTAACAATCAAAACGTGGTGAGGGTGACATTTTGTTGAGAAAAATGAGAGTAATAGATCATGCATACACAGAGGCAAACAAAAATAATAAACAAGATTTATGTGATTAAGTAGTTTGCTTAGGTTCACGGAATTAAAACATGTGCTCCATCTCAATTAAAAGCCTAAGCTAATAGTTGGATTGCACATTAATGGCTAGATGTTCACACACAGAAATGAAATGAGTTCTTTTATTAATTGTGATGACAATATTTAAAAGGTTATTAATATTATATTTATATATAACTTTAATGGTAAATTTAAAAATTAAAATCGCTAATATAAAGTGTTGAATACAACTAAGAATGGTGCTTAATCTAGTAGGCAGACCAGATAAAGAATCTGTAGCCCTAACCAAAGTATGGACTATCACATTTGCTGATTTACAATAAAATTGAAGCACACATAAATTTTCAACCGGTTAAGAATATGTGTTTAGAATATTTTATTATTATTATTTGAGTACACAACATATATACACACATTTGTTGTGTCGTGGTTCGCTAATGTTAATTAATTAAGGTATATATCATCATATCCCATGTGGGGCGGAGAGAGAGGTTGAATGGAGGAACGCATGCATGCAAAGTTAAAGCTAACAGCTAAACTAGCTAGTTCATCTTTAAAAAAAAAAAAAAAAAAAAAAAAATCAACCGTCATGTATTTTATTTAATAATAAGATAATGGCCCTGTTCGGTAAAAAAAATTGGTCTATAGGTCAATTTTGACTTATTTGATCACTATTAATTATTTGATTTAGTTAAAATATCAATAGAAATGTTTGGTTAATTAGCTTTTTGCAATTCCAAAAGGCTAAAATTCAAAAAGCTACTCTAAGCAACTTTTTCAATTAGCTTTTTGATAAAAGAAATTATATCAAACAGCTATCAGCTAACAGCTAATTTACGAAACACTTTTCTACAATCATCTAATGTTATCAACTATTTATACCTTTTAATTAACACAATCAGCTAACAGCAAACAGCTATTAGCTAACAGCCATTTTACCAAACAGGGCCAATAGCTAAACTAGCTAGTTCAAGACCCAATTAAGTACCTTTGTTTTTGAGAGCCTTAAGTCGTTGAAAAGTGGTGAGGGTGAGTCGTTGAAAAATTTCCAACCGGTTAAGAATATATGTTTAGAATATTTTTTGAGTATTCAACATATATACAGACATTTGTTGTGTTGTGGTTGGCTAATGATAATTAATTAAGGTATCATCCCATCGATCCCATGTGGGGCGGAGATCAGAGAGAGGTTGAATGGAGGAACGCATGCATGCAAAGTTAAAGTTGGATTGGGAAAATAAAAATTTAAGATTTGGATTCTCTTTTTCACGACTCCCATGAGATTTGTATGCTGTAAGCTAAGCATGCATGCATGCATGCATTTCAAGGATCTATTCCAGGGATTCTATTTGATTCCCCACATGGGCTTTTCTTTCTATATTTTGTATACTAATTAACTCTGTATGTATATATGTGTTTTATATTTATATGTGTGATCGAATATATATATATATATATATATATATATATATATATATATATATATATATATATATATATATAGAGAGAGAGAGAGAGAGAGAGAGAGAGAGAGAGAGAGATGATCTTAATTGAGTCTTGAATGTTTTGGAAACATGCATACATGATAATGCCACCTCTGATTTTTGTTTTTGTTCAAACTCGTGATAGAGGATCTTAAGCTCAAGATTATGGAGTTAAGATTGCATGGATATATAATATATTGAAATTCAAAAAATATTCTTCAAAGATTGTATATGTACTCTGCCCATATTATTGTACTATCCAAATAAAAGTATGATATATCCACCACAATATTGTTGGCAAATTATTATGTGGACCTGGGTCAACATTACAAGGTGGATCCGGATCTAAATGTTCAGAATTTAGATACTAAATGTTCACAATTTATTTTTTTAAAAATTTATAATTTGTATACTATGAACACATAATGTTAACATATATGTGATTGATTGTCTTGTTTTGTATTCACAAGATTCTTTCAAATACTACAGTCATACAATATCAATAAATTAGGATTTAATGACATTCTACTGCGGTTATGTGTTTTGACTTAGAAACGTATTTATATTCTAGAATTGTACCCATGGTTGGTACTTAATTAGTTGAGAGCTATGCACACTGTTTCTTTAGAGTTGTACCCATAGTTGGTATTTAATTAGTTGAGATCTATGCACACTGTTTAGCACCATTGTGCATACACACTTGTAATTACTAAGCCTATAAACTAATAATGAACTACTCACTTTTGTGAAATTTATTTAGTTTTTACCCATGGCTGACATTTATTTTGTTGCGGATGCACACTATTTAAAGCCAATGTGCAATCACGTATTTAAAAACTAAGCGTATAAGATAATATTGAACTGGTCTCTTTTGTGAAATTCATTTACTTTTTAACTATGATTAAAATTTGTTTAGTTGTACATGCACACAGTTTAACGCAATTGTGCACACATGTGTTTATTAACTAAGCCTACAAGCGAATATTTCAACAATCACCTATGTAAATTTAGTTAGTTATTATTCACGACTGAAAAAAAGCCATACGCAATTACGCACACACCTACATGCGCATGTGCACACATGGATTGAAAAAAACTAATACATGACTAAGATATAATAAACACAGCAAGCACACCAAACCTTCAACCCACGAACATAGATTCAAAAGTAATAAATACTAACAGCAGTATTCGGACAAAAAAAAAAAAAACAATTAGTGCCAAAAAAATACTATGAGGACAGTATGAAGTAGTCATGTGCACATTACAAGGACCACCCAAAAAGACCATAGTAGATAAAACACACGTCTACACAGATGGAAGAGGAACAGAGATAGATTGTTAGGCACGAGACAAGTTTCGTAGTCTATGCACATTGAACTCAGACACTGCTAGATCCTTCATGTAACGTAGTCTTAGATTATGCAACGTCGTAGTGTCCCCTTAACAAGGCCACAATCCCAATCCGAGACCCGCTGGCTTACATAGGACTCCATGTGACGCAGAACCTTGGACCTCTAGCCTGGAAAGAAAACAATAACATCCATGCAAACATGTAAGCCAAAACACGCGATCTAATGACCACACACAACAGAACCCCAAAAATGAATTAAACGCAGGCAAAAGTACTACACCAAAGAACTGAGCACACAACCTGACCCAAACATTCACAATTACACTAACATCGAGAACCCAACAATAAATTGATCGAGTAAAATGTGAGCACACATCCTGACCAATATTACCTTTCTGTACAATTATGAATTATTACATGAAATTAACCTAATCACAATTGTAAGTTCATCACAAATTAAATGCCTAAAATATTATTTTCATGTGCATTATTATTTTTATATGCGGATAATACAAGTTCTATGTATTTTGGTCCTTGATACAACATGGACCATATGTCCATATTCCATGATATACTTTGCCTTTTAACATCATGAGTTACTGGCAATTTTTTTTTTTTTAAATAACTTCTTTAAAATGAAAAATATTAGATAGATAAAATTTAATCCTCCAAGCAAAATTAGATAGAGACTAAGTGCGAACACCTCACGAGCAAAACCCAAAATTCGAGATTAAACAAAGAAAAAAAAAGGCACAGCATGATTAACAACATTCTGAAACTGTAAAGGGCAATAAAATAACATGAAACCATAGTTCCACTTTATTCACTAACTCCATTCCAATACAGTTAAACACACATTGGTGATTAAAAAACAAAACCACAAAAGTTTGGTGAATGTGAAATGGTGATTGAATGACAGTAGAATCTTTTAACAAACTGATTATTCAAACACATTTAAGCACACATTTCAGTTCATAAAAAACAAAACTTAACAAGACAGGAAATTTTAAAACGAATACACACTGTGACACTGACAAGATATTGCATCAACAAAAATGAACAAATTCAACAACAAAGGCAGAATAGGAAGCAACAAAAAATAAAACCCTAAACAAACTCAAACGGATTTTGAAAGAATTTTTTTTTTGAAACTAGCCAGTAAATTGGCCAGAACCACCACCACCAGTAAATTGGCCCCAACCGCCACAGTAAACCCCAAAACAAAACCCACACCTCAACAACCCCCCACACCAAACTACCCCCAAAACCACACCACACCGCGAACCACACACCCACGACCCAAAAACCACCACCAACAAAAACCCTAGGTACCAAATCCGGGCAAAAAACCCCAATACCTGCACCCCAACCCACAAAAACCAGCGCCTACGAGCCAGCAAACACCAAAATCACCCCGGTTATACCCAAAAAATGCAGAAAAACACAACCCCCCCCCCCCCCCCAAAAAAAAAAAAAAGCACAAAAGACAAACTAACTAACCTCGACCGACAACCGATGGACCCCGCCTCTTCACTGTGCCGAGGTCCCCCGATAACCATGGCTACGTGGAATTGAAGAACAGAGAAGCAAAGCCGTGGAAGAAACGCGTGATGCGGTGAAAGCCGACACCTCCTACGCACGAAGATAAAAGAAACGACAGAATAGAAGGAAATCCCAACGTCGCGTGAAATTACATACTAAAATCTGTGTAGGATTTAATCACTAGTAAAATACCAAACCTACCCCCCTTAACATAAAAACCCATTAAATTAAAGAATTCACCACGCGGGAATCATAGCCATCAAAATGCAAGATCTGATGACCCAGATTAGTCCACATGTTTGTACTTTAAGAGGTGTTTTCACCTGAATGTAATTCTATATATATATAAAGAAGATAAAGATATAAAGATGTTACATTATGTGTATTATCTTTTCAAAAAACAGTATGTGTATTTTGTTATAAAATTATGTACATTTTTTAAACGACACAGAAAAATAGAATTCTCAAAAAAAATAATTCAAAACGACGTCTGCACCAAGGCGCACAATGCAATGCACGCCCTGGTGCACGATATAAATTGCATATAACAGCTCGTTTAAGTTGAAATTGGGATTAAGATTGGATTATTGGAATTATTAATCAGGAAGAAGGAACCCTTGGGAGGCAAATTATGCTGTGCATCCGTATGCACCATGCATGGTGCATACGGATGCAAAAACGACGTCGTTTTAATAAAACGCGCATCTCCCCTTAAAAAAAAATCAGTTTCGATTCCCAGCAACAACATATGAACTAAAATTCCATAATCGATGAACTATAATTCCATAATTGGACTATAGTTCCATAATCGATGAACTATAATTCCATAATCTAATCTATGAGCTAAAGATTCCAGAATGAATGAACTAAAATTCCATAATCTATAAACTAAAATTTCAGAATCGATGAACTACAATTCCATAATCGATGAACTATAATTCCATAATCAATGAACTATAATTCCACAATCTATGAACTAAAATTCCAGAATGAATGAACAATATAATGTTGTAGCTGGGAATCGAACCTGAATTGTTTTTAAAGGAGAGACGCGCGTTTTTTAATAAAACGACGTCGTTTTGACATCCGTATGCACCATGCATGTTGCATACGGATGCACAGCATAACGATTGCCCTTGGGAGGTAAAGTTATTGATGGATTCATCTTATGGGTCATCATAAATGAAACTCAGGCCCATTAATGATCTGGTATAGACCCACAACGGCACATTATTGCCTTCTTCTTCCAACGGCGTCGTTACACCGGAATTACCAATACTCGTCCCAGGTAACAGCTAAGCACATTTGAATGGCTAGGATAAGGCCAGAATAGTATCAGCGAATCAGCATGCTTAAACCACCACACCAGCAAAAAAGCTCCAAACTATAACCCCTTTCTGCTCTTCAGAGCTATGAATTCATCTGTTTTGAAGCTAGAATTTTGAGGTGGGAGTATGTATTCTGTGTTCTTAGCTGTAGAATCAGCTCTGGGTTGAGTTTCTGTGCTCATATTAATAATGCAAGCTTTTGGTGTTTGGCCTCTGAAAAGTGATTCTTGGAAGGGATTTGAGCTGGGTTTTTGTTCTAATTCAATTTCAAGAAGTGGGGTGGTTGAAAGATTTGATCTTGCTGGAAGTAGTGGTTTCAGGACTACTTGTCTTAGTCCACAGATTAGTGGGTCTAGATGGAAATCATGGTCTGAACATTCCTTTCCCAGATTTCATCTCTTCTGCAATCCAAGAAAAAATGGCAGTTTTGGCTCATTTTCAGCATTAGCCTTAGTGTCAAAGGAGCAGACATCTGTGTGTGGCACTCTGGAGAAAGATTCACTGCCACTGAATCAAGTTTCTGAGAAAATTCAGAATGAAGATTTTGGTGGTTGTCTGCAGCTGGAGGGAATAAGAAATGTGGGGTCGTCTCGCGAAGAAGGCGATGGAAGCAATTCAGTTCGAGGCGAAGATAACCAGGAAGATATTAGGGGGAAAAGACATGGTAGGATTGATGTTAAAGCACTGGCAAAGAGCCTTCACAGTGCCAAGAATGCAGATGATGTAGAAGAGATTCTAATACAAACATAACTTAAAAGAATTAAGTCAGAACTTGGTTATAACTCAAAAACTAAAAATACAATTTGATTATAACTCAAAAACTAAAAATGCAAATTTTGTGTATAGCATATATACATTGACCGTGCATAAAATCTTTGAAAGTATTAAAGTTGAAATACACTCATTCCACGCCAATGAAATACAACTTCTTCGCCGTCAAATTTAACCATGGACGCCACCCAACCCGTCAATCCCCCGACGGAACCCGCCTCCGTCAATGACGTCGTCGCTTCCAATCCCACAACCGAAATTCCGCCGCCGTCATTGGCCTCCGTCACCGCCACTGCCACAAAGCGGAAGAACATAAAGAACAAGTGGAGGCCGGTGACTCCGGAGCTCCCCGACCCGCATTCGCCGACGGCATCATCTTCTTCGGCTTGTTTGAGTGCGACGTCGTTTGCTGGTTCGAAGCAACGAGGGTTTAGGGTCTTGAACGGTCGCCGGAACCCTAGAGCGCTTACTGGGGCCGCCATGCATATGGCTGGCGATGTTGATGCCGTCGCTCTCCATCTTGGCATTTCTATTGCAGCTGTATTTGCTCAGGTATACGCAGTTATGAAATATGTACTGTAATACTTATGATCAGTAGTTTATGCTACTCCGTACATTGAAAAGTATCGGCTTTTAGGGTAAAGTTTGAAATTTTGGTTTTGAAAAATTTCATGTTACTTATGATTAGTAGTTTATGTTACTCCGTACATTGAAAAGTATCGGCTTTTAGGGAAAAGTTTGAAATTTTGGTTTTGAAAATTTTCATCTTGAGTATTGAGGTATGAGATGGTTGGAAGTTATGAAGGAAAACATGAAAATTAAGGTGTAAAGAAATTGTTCCAAAGATGTAATCATGAGAAAGCTAGAGACATTCATGTTTAGGGTTTAGTGATTGAATTATGAAGACAAACTAGTAGTAATTATAATGAGTCCTGGAAATCATTTTCCAAGTTTCCATTGTTTGGATGTGCCTGAAAAATCAAGTCAACGGAGTTTGACTTTGGAAAATAGGCTTGTTTTTGGAGGAAAATGACTTCCCTTTTTTGGGAAGTCATTTTCCAACTTTTACATCAACATCATACCACCACCACCTCACTACCACAATCACCACCACCTCACTACCACAATCACCACCACTACTGCAGCCGCCACCACCACTATACCACTGCCACCACCGCCACCATACTACCACCATCACACCACCACTACCACCACCAACACCATACCACCGCAATCACTACCACCGCCAACACCATCAACACCATACCACTGCAACCATCGTCGCCGCCACCACCACCACCATTACACCACCACTACCGCCGCCACCACCACCACCATACCACCACAACCGTCGTCGCCACCACCGCAACTACAGTCGCCGCCACCACCGCCACCACCACACCACCACCATCACACTACCGCCGCCGCCACCACGACTATAACACCGCAACTACTACCACCGCAAGCGCCGCCACCACCACCACCATACCACCGCAACCACACCACCACCACCACCACTGCCACCACCGTCATACCACCACCAGTTGTTATTATTATTATTATTATTATTATTATTATTATTATTATTATTATTATTATTATTATTATTATAACAAATAACACCACTACCACTACACCACCACCACCACCATAATATTTTTGATATATTATTAGTTATTTTTATTATATTTAAAATTATTATTATATTATTATATATTATACATGTTGTAATATTCTAAATAAAATAATTAAAATGATTTTTTTTTTGAAAGCAAATAATTAAAATGATTAATTATACAATTCTACTCATTTTTCAGAAAATGAACCAAACACACAAAAACAGTTTTTCAAAATGCAACCAAACACGGGAAAAGAAAAATATTTTCTGGAAAATGACTCATTTTCCAGAAGTCATTTTCCTGCTTTCCAAACGGACACTTTTCTGTAGCTCGTTTGGTTCGCTGGAAAATATTTGAAGGGAAATGGAATTCAAATTCCATGGAAAACAAATTACCAGGAAAATAGATTCCATTGTTTGGTTAGTGGAAAAGAAATTACTGGGAATATGAATTCCATTGTTTGGTTGGGTTTGGAATGGTAAGGAATTATGAATATAAAGACTAATATGTCCTTAACAATAATTTATACATGTGTAGTTAATAAATTTTGATGAGGGCAAAATAGTCTAATATTACTATATTTTCTTCCCAACTCATTTGGAAAACAAAATACCAATGTTTAGATAGGATTTTCTTTTCCTTCACCTTTAGGAAGTCAAATTCCCATGGAAAAGATTTTTCATCCTACCAAACAAGGTAAAACAACATTTTCCTACATTTCATGGAAAATCTTTTCCATGGAATTTGATTTCCATCCAACCAAACACCTTAAAGTGAAAGCTAGCATCCAAATGTAGATTCTTGATTGATCTGGGTTGTTTCCCTTAAATTATTTGTGTTGAGATTAACAAGAACAAAAAAAATAATAATGGCAAAAAGGGTAAAGAAGACAAAATTTACGTGGTTCGACAAAATGCCTACATCCACGGGAGTGAAACGATTCTCTTATTCATAGTGATGGTGATAGTGGTGACACCACCTATAGGGATACAACCAATATATTTATAGGCATCTAATCCTTATACAATAGGTCTACTCGTTTCACTCCTACTCCTAGTATGAGACAAACACTTATTCCTAATCCATATATGAGACAAACTCAACAATCTCCACCTTGGCGAATATGTTCTTTAGGAGAAAAGATAACTCAACAAATCTCCACCTTGACGAATATGCTCTTTAGGAGAAAAGACTTATCTCACCATCTCCACCTTCACATATATGCCCTTTAGGAGAAAAGACTTCTCCACCTTCGCAAATATGTCCTTTAGGAGAAAAAAGATAACTCAACAAATCTCCACCTTAGCAAATATGTCCCTTAGGAGAAAAGACTTATCTCACCATCTCCACCTTCACAATTACGCCCCTTAGGAGAAAAAAAAAAAACTTATCTCACATATACACATGGGTAGAAACAACCATGATTATCCCAACTAGCCGGCCATATGCACCACTCAGCATCAAACGTTTTCCAGCATGTACACGAACCGCTTTGTTCCAAGCCATTCGCCCCTCAGCCGTCGACCTGTTATACCGTCGCGACTCATGCTAACTGCCCCGTTCAGTTGACTTCTTGCATCCGGCCCATACCAGGTCCATATCCCCTCCTGGTATCCACGCTGCCCCAACACAACAGCGTCCCTGCAAAGTCACACTAAACCCGTGTGCCTTGCCCAATGCTCCGCTAACCAGCAATTACCACTGGCCAGCAACACGCACAACGCAACATCAAACGTTTCCCAGTGCATGTTCACGAACTTCTTCGTCGTCCCGAGAAGTCCTCCCATACCAGCCGTGACTTATGCCAAGCCCAACCCATGCTAGTGCCATATTGGTCCATACTGAGCCCATATAAGCCCATACCGATACCAGCCGTGACTCATGACAAGCCCGACCCATACCAAGTCCGCGACCCCTCCTGGTATCTACACTGCCCAACACCACAGTGCCCCTCACCACATTCTCATCTAGCATCTAGAAACGCCCAACAAGTCCAAACAATGTTCGAACTTGTTACTAGTTACCGCTAGAACATCACCTTCACTATAATAAGATTCATTAGCATGTACCACGTCCGTAGCTTTCTGCTTCTTCAACTCCTTCCAATCAGCCTCTTCCAGATCAGATGGCTTTTCCGCCTTCAAAGTTTTTAGAAGGCCTTGTTGTGCCAACAAATCTTTTACCCTAGATTGCCATAACCTAAAATTCTCTGTACCATCAAACTTTGATACCTCGAATTTTGTATTTGAACGGACCATCTCAACAGTGCTCTGATACCAATTTGTTGAAATTAACAAGAACAAGAAAAATAATAATGGCATAAAGGGTAAAGAAGACAAGATTTACGTGGTTCGGCAAAGTGCCTACATCCACGGGAGCGAAACAATTCTCTTATTCATAGTGATGGTGATAGTGGTGACACAACCTATAGGGATACAACCAATATATTTATAGGCATCTAATCCTTATACAATAGGTCTACTCGTTTCACTCCTACTCCTAGTATGAGACAAACACTTATTCCTAATCCATATATGAGACAAACTCAACAATTTGCCTGCCGTTTCTGTAATTTTTATCCTATGAGCTCATTGAAATGTCTTTGGGTATTATATGGAGGTTCAATGTCACTAGACCTATAAATGTCTTGTTCTTTGACCACTATTGAACTTGCAAGTTTCTTAACTTTTTACCAAGATGATATTACACTTGAGTCCGCAGATAACATTGTATTGGAGATGTTATTACAGTTAATACACCTAGAAATCTTACCGTATAAGATTTCATGTTGCCATTGATTATGGGATCGGAAAATTGTATTTGATTATTCTTTTCATTTTAGCACTTCCATTTCAAGACCTGAAAGTTCAACTTTCTGTGAGATTCGTGCTGGTTAACTCTGATACCATTTGATTCTTTAAATAAATTGTCAACTTATTCACCACTGTCATCCTATACTAGATAGGATTTTATCTATTTCACTCTGGTTAATTTTTTTTTTTTTTTTTTGTCAATGGTCTTTGCCTCTTTTAGGTATTGGAAAGGAAAGATGCAGCTATGTCAGTGGATCATCTCTCTAAGGTATATTCTCTCTAGGATAATTCTTACATGAATATTCATCAGTGTGAATATGCATGTTAGTACTGTTGCAATGGATGAGTCACAGTTTGATGATGTATAACCATTGTTCTTTTTCTTCTCAGATTTGCAGTTTGGCTGTTCGGGAATCTTTGGCTAATGTGAGAGATTAACATCTTCAGCTAATTCTTGTGGTCATATAATAGATACTCTTTTATCAGAATTCCCATCTATTTTTAGTCTAGAATTTTATACTCTAATATAATGTGTTTCTTGTATTGATACAGGCTTTTGGGGATGAGTTTGAGTCTTTTGTGAGGAACTTTGAGAAATCATTTAGAAGTACATTGATGAGTCTGAGATTAGTGAATGAGTCTTGTATGAAGAATGTGGTAGAGCACCAAAAAGCTGCAAACCGAGGAACTTGTATCTCAAAGGTGAATTTGCATTTTAAGGATGAATTAGAAGATGAAGTAAATGAAAATATGTTGGTGGAATCAATGAATCACCAGCTTACCCTTCATGACACGTCTTACTCTTCTGCAATTACTAATACCAAACATAGCACATTAGAAATGGGTGTTGTGGAGCACGCTAGATCTAATGATCTTAAGACATTTGAGATTGGTCTTATGATCAAAAAGTTGCAACTTAAAGAAAAAGAGCTAGCTGTTAACTCTCAAGCTAATATTTTGGAGAGATGGAAATTATGTTTGGGTGTATCTACGGCATCCTTCAAAGCCGAGAAGATTAAGAATGAATTAGAAGATGCAAAACATACTGAGCTGCTCAAATCCTGTATTGACTGTCTTGTTGCTGGTCTTTTCATTATGGTGGGGTGCCTTGGATATGGAACATATGTGTATTCTTTCAAAAGAATTACTGAAGCTACTAATGCCTGCACAACTGTAAGGAATATATACTTCATTCTCGATTCTGTTCATTTTATGATTCTAGCATTTTCCATACGTTCACTACTGGAAATTATTGAATTTCCGACCACCTGAAAGTGATCTTAAATCAAGTTGAAAGCAAAAAGTGGTCGGAACAAGGCTTTCAACTTGATTTAAGATCACTTTCAGATGGTCGAAAATTTCAGAATTTCCAGTAGTGGTTGCTATGCGCTATGCTAATAAAATATGTTTTCTTAGGAATCTATGCCTTGGTGGATGCCAAAGTCGATGCGATTTGTGAATTATGGACTGCAGACTCTGAGTTGTAAAGTTCAAATTGTATTTCGGATGGTATTTGGTGTACTAATGATCGTGGTAGTTGCTTATTTGCTTATTCGGCGTTCAGCTACTTCACATCACGCAATGCCAGTAACTTTCATACTGTTATTATTAGGAGCAGTGTGTGGTGTTGCTGGAAAGCTTTGCGTGGATACACTGGGAGGCAGTGGATCTCATTGGCTATTGTATTGGGAGGCTTTATGCTTATTGCATTTCTTTTCAAACTTCTGTGTTTCAAGTTTGTGTATTATTCTGGTCGGGCCTGTCACTGCACCAGAAAAGACCAGGATTATATTTCCGTACTGGATGAGGAGAGTTGTCTTCTACTCCACAATGCTCCTTCTCCCACTGCTCTGCGGTTTGATACCTTTCGCTGGCCCCTGGGAATGGAAACATCACTTTCTGGGGCTTCAGAAGAGTAAAACCCTTCATTCATAAATCATAATCATGGAAGAACTAAGTATGAAGAAGTTTATCTTCTTTGTGGTATGCATGTAAGTATATTAATTAAGCCTAGCTAGCTAGCTGCCTGCCTTAGTGTCAACCTTGTTCTGAGTTGATGGATTTTCAAGAATCAAGTTGAGTTGTAAAGTTTTATAAATTATTATTTTGGAACAAGCATCTTGCTCTTATGACCACTTAACTTTGGGTTGTTAATTATTATATTATTATTATTATTGGATACGATGTGGTGTCTTAGTGCTTTAGATATAAGTTATGCTTTACCCACTCAATCACTTACTTATTTTTAGACATGTTCATTTATTTAGTTACCACCAAGGGAGTGTTTGGTTTAGGTCATCTTAGATTACCTAGGTAATCTGAGTTTGGTCCAACCATGTTACTTTGTTTAGTTATTAATTATTATTTAAAATAGAGTACTAATTATGCCAACTTTGATTGGGATGAGGTTCGAATCTAAGATCTTTTTAATGAAATCAATGAGTAAGTTAACGGTGAAATAACAGAAGTTAACGAAAAAGTTAAAGTTAACCGATAAATTAAAAAATTTGACCATTCATTTGATTAAAAAATTTGACCGTCATTTTTTCTACCCAGGAAAAATTAAAAACTGATCTCTGAGCTATTCATTTGATTAAAAAATTTGACCGTCATTTTTTAGTATAGTAGAGTTTCTGTGTGTTATGTATCAATGTATAATGTTAAATTATGTGTATTCAGTTATAAGTTTCTGTGTATTCTGTTATGAGTTTATGTGTATTCAAAATAAATGATTTTTTTTTTTAACAATGTACCAAAACGACGATATTTTGGGTAGGACAAGACGCACAATGCATTGTGCACACTGGTGCCGATATAACGACTGGTATAACAAGGCAAATTATGCTATGCGCACGTGCGCACCTTGCAAGGTGCGCACGGCGCTAAAACGGCGTCGTTTTCCGTGAAAACGACGCTGTTTTAATTAAAAAAAAAAATTGTTCGAAACGCCGTTAACGGCGTTAACGGCATATTCGTTATGAAATTATGAATATACAGTTATGACATTATGAATGTACAATTATAGAATTATGAATGTATAGTTATGGAATTATGAACTTACAATTATGAACATAGAGCTTCGAAAATTATGAATGTTCGGTATGGAATTATGAATATACAGTATGGAATTATGAATGTACAGTTATGGAATTATGAATGTACTGTTATAGAATTATGAATGTACAGTTATGGAATTATGAATGTACTGTTATAGAATTATGAATGTACAGTTATGGAATTATGAATGTACAGTTATGAAATTATGAACATAGAACTCTGACATTATGAACTTACAATTATGAACATAGAGCTTCGAAAATTATGAATTTACAGTTATTGAATTATGAATGTACAGTTACAGAATTATGAATGTACAGTTATAGAATTATGAATGTACAGTTATGGAATTATGAATGTACAGTTATGAAATTATGAACACAAAGCTGTGAATATATGCTCCTATAACGAAGCGGTCTGAAATTAAATTTAAAAAAAAAAAAAAAAAAAAAAAAAAAAAAAAAAAAAAGAAGATAACGTGCGCATGAAGCACGCTGGGCACGAGCCCACAGCATAACTATCCGTATAACAACTCGTTTAAGTTGAAATTGGGCTTTGGATTGGATTATTGGAATTGTTAATCCAGGAAGAAGGAACCCTTGGGAGGTAAAGTTATAAGATTATGGATTTATCTTCAAATTGAAGCTCAGGCCCATTAATGATCTGGTATAGACCCACAACGGCCTTCTTCTTCCAACGGCGTCGTTTCACCAGAATTTCCAATACTCTCGTCGCAGGTAACAGCTAAGCACATTTGAATGGCTAGGATAAGGCCAGAATAGTATCAGCGAATCAGCATGCTTAAACCACCAGCAAAAAAGCACCAAACTATAACCCCTTTCTGCTTTTCAGACCTATGAATTCATCTGTTTTGAAGCTAGAATTTTGAGGTGGGAGTATGTATTCTGTGTTCTTAGCTGTAGAATCAGCTCTGGGTTGAATTGCAGTGCTCATAATAATGCAAGCTTTTGGTGTTTGGCCTCTGAAAAGTGATTCTTGGAAGGGATTTGAGCTGGGTTTTTGTTCTAATTCAATTTCAAGAAGTGGGGTGGTTGAAAGATTTGATCTTGCTGGAAGTAGTGGTTTCAGGACTTGTCTTAGGCCACAAATTTGTGGGTCTAGATGGAAATCATTGTCTGAACATTCCTTTCCCAGATTTCATTTCTTCTGCAATCCAAGAAAAAATGGCAGTTTTGGCTCATTTTCAGCATTAGCCTTAGTGTCAGAGGAGCAGACATCTGTGTGTGGCACTCTGGAGAAAGATTCACTGTCACTGAATCAAGTTTCTGAGAAAATTCAGAATGAAGATTTTGGTGGTTGTCTGCAGCTGGAAGGAATAAGAAATGTGGGATTGTCTCGCGAAGAAGGCGATGGAAGCAATTCAGTTCGAGGCGAAGATAACCAGGAAGATATTAGGGGGAAAAGACATGGTAGGATTGATGTTAAAGCACTGGCAAAGAGCCTGCACAGTGCCAAGAATGCAGATGATGTGGAAGAGATTCTAAGGGACAAGGGAGAGCTTCCACTTCAAGTGTGTTCATCTATGATTAGAGGTTTTGGCAAAGATAACAAGCTAGATTCTGCAATGGCTCTTGTGGATTGGCTGAGGAGAAGGAGCAAAGATTCTTCTGGTTCTATTCATCCAAACCTCTTCATTTACAACAGTCTCTTGGGGGCTGCAAAGGAGGCTGAAAAGTATGATGTTGTTGAGAAAGTAATGGAGGATATGGTGTTGGATGGGATTAACCCTAATGTTGTTACATATAATATTCTCATGAGTGCATATATACAACAAGGTCAGGAGCTCGAAGCGCTGAATCTTTTCGAGGAGATATCGAGGAATGGTTTGTCTCCGAGCCCTGCATCCTACTCCACAGCCTTGTTTGCTTACCGGAGGCTTGAAGATGGCGTCGGGGCTGTGAAATTCTTTGTAGAGATCAGAGACAAGTATGGAAAGGATGGAGACGAGAACTGGGAGGCCGAGTTTTCGAAGCTCGAGAATTTCACGATTCGAATATGCTACCAGGTGATGAGGCAGTGGCTAACGAAGCCCGAGAATTTAAGCATCAATGTGTTGAGGCTGCTGACAGAAATGGACAAGTCCGGGCTCGTGCCTGGGCGGGCAGAATACGAACGCCTCGTGTGGGCTTGTACCCGCGAAGAACATTATGTTGTTGCCAAAGAATTGTATGAGAGGATAAGAGAAAGAAGCTCTGAGATTAGCCTATCTGTCTGTAACCATGTGATTTGGCTAATGGGGAAGGCTAAGAAATGGTGGGCAGCTCTCGAAATATACGAAGATCTGTTGGAAAACGGGCCAAAACCGAATAACATGTCTTATGAACTGATAGTTTCTCATTTCAACGTTCTACTCGGGGCAGCTAGAAAACGAGGGATATGGCGATGGGGCGTTAGGCTGCTCGAAAAGATGGAAGAGAAAGGACTCAAACCGGGTAGCCGGGAATGGAATGCTGTCCTTATTGCTTGTTCCAAGGCTTCAGAAACATCTGCTGCCATAGAGATCTTCAAGAGAATGGTGGAACGAGGCGAGAAGCCAACAATCATCTCCTATGGTGCGTTGCTCAGTGCTCTCGAGAAAGGGAAACTATACAACGAGGCACTGCAGGTATGGAAACACATGCTTAAACTGGGCGTGGAACCAAATCTTTACGCCTATACTATCATGGCTTCACTTTACACTTCTCAAGGCAAATTCGATGCTGTTAATTCTACACTCCTGGAAATGAAAACCCGTGGGATTGAGCCAACGGTCGTCACATTCAACGCAATTATCAGTGGATGTGCGAGGAACGAGATGGGAAGTGCAGCATACGAATGGTTTCAGCACATGAAAGCTCTAAACATAGCCCCGAATGAGGTTACCTATGAAACGATGATCGTGGCACTTGCAGAAGATGGCAAGCCGAGGCTATCTTATGAGTTGTACACGAGGGCGCAAAATGAGGATATGGTTCTGTCTGCAAAGGCTTACGATGCTGTCATCCGTTCTGCACAGCTGCATCGAGCTACTATCGATGTTAGCACGCTTGGTCCCCGACCACCAGAGAAGCCGAAAAAAAAGGTGCAAACTAGAAACTCTTTGCCACAACTCTGTAATACAGATGATGTCTCACCGTAGAGTTTGGAATTGCTTTCTTAATATAATCATCCATACAACATAGCAAGAATAGGGAGAAACACCCGACAGTCGCAGTGTGGAAATTCACCATTCTGTATAGGTGGTTCCTTGTAGGCACTAAGCACGCCCTCTGACCTAGAGGGCTATTGAGTCATCGTGATTTACCAACAATTCTGTCGAGTAAGATGTATCAGTGTAGGGGCCAGTGTTGCAAAAATCGCGCCTAGGTGCCAGGCGGTCGGCCTCCTAGGCGCTCTAGGCGGTCCCCAGACACCTAGAGGGCGCCTAGCGATTTTTTCAACATTGGTAGGGGCCCTCGGAGGGAGGGAGAAGCAAACAAGCAGTAATGCAGTATCATAACTGATTTCTCCAATCACATTTTTGAAACAAAAACAAAATTAAATTAAACATCCCCTTACAAAAGGCACTAAAGTCATCAGCCAAACTTAGAAATTATTTAGAGGAAGAAGAAGGGTACATAAGGCAAATAAAGCTATAACAAAGGAAGTCCTACCACCTCAAATTGCAGTTTCAGATAACATGGAAATCATTCATAGTATAAATGAAACTGAAAATAACAGCGAAACAATGGGATGGGCAAGACTAGTGGCTCCTATTCGGTCTTCCTCGAGTCCTTGAGCTGCCCTCGCTTTCTGATTCCGAGGCAAAACTTCAGACGCCAAGCATCAACTGCTGACTCGGGCAATGAATAGAGCAAGCCCCATAGAAGCGAATGGGGCCAATATGGCGTGCACCTAGGTTCATAACCTATCCAACGCAAGGCAGCCCGAGCATAACCATCAGTTGATGGAACAAAGAACGAAGATCTCCGGATTGATGCCATTTTCGTTGCAACATATAAGGGTACCTACAGACAGAAACCTGATAAGAGTGCTAGAACAAGAAATCCTGATATGTGCTCATAAACTCCCACCCGGCAAAACAGCAGTTTTGAATTACCAAGATTATTGTGATTAGTCAGATCCAGAAAAACTATAAAGTCAAGTTTAAGCATCAAAGAACTCTGCTCTGATCAGTGTTTAAGTTACCATTAACCAAGTTAAAATGATTTTTACTGATCACACATCAAAGTTGGAACCACGCATTGAATTCGACTACCCTACCGTAACTAAATCGAATACAATACTGTATTTTCCCTGGATGGACTCTCCAGTATTAACACAATGATCAGCTTTGAAGCTCAATTTCTCTAAATGCATAAGCTAAGGTAAGAACAAAGTATATAATAAAACCAGTGAACTAAACATGTGAGTATGGGGTCAATGGATACCTGACATTGCACATCAATCCCACTTTTCTTGTACTCCACATAAAGGCATCTTGAAAATTGATCAATGTATCTGAAAGTAAAATCATGAACATTAGTCCAATGTAATTCAGAATAGCAGTACTCAAAATCTCATAAATGCCTATTATGAATTGCAAGAAGCAAGACAGCCAACTAGCTCAATGCTGATTGCTTGCCCACAAAAGGCGAACCCAGGGTCCCCACAGAATAGGGGAGGGTAAAATGTCTCAACGGTCCATTAGATGGGAGGACTATTCCTGGCTCCACAAGGAGCCCATCATATCAGGTGTAACTCCCATACTGCGGCTTTCAAGATCTATCCTTTGTATTTCCCACAAATCTATCGCTAGGAACCAACTAAGCTGCCTGAACGGACAACTAGCTCAATGCTAAATGATCAACTTGCAGCAAATTCACTATATAGGAATAAGATAAATTGATCTCCAAGTTGCCTGCATGACAGCTCAGTTGGTCACAGGGGTGAAGTTTGGGAAGAATGACTAGGGATCGAGCAGCAGTGTGAGAGCAACCTCTCAAACTGAGGGGACTCCTTTTGCCCAGCAAGCAAAAGTCTAGTGTCTGTGTTCAGCTGAGTTACCATGATTTACATCCTCCCAAATGCTCGTCCCAAATGCTCGGTAGGGGGCTAGGGTTTGGTAAGAATCCTCACCAATAAAAGAGAAATATAAAGATTTTGCACCAAAACATAGAAAGTTTCAATTTTTGCAAATGGCAATCAAATCAGTAGGAAGCAGAAGTAAAGAACTTTAAGCAACAAAAGATGTGAAGTGTGAAAGATTATAAGGTTGACGGAGAAACTATCCATAGACTTGAAGGAAAGGGAAAGCATATGAATGAAGAGTATAGTTCTAAAGATTGCATTTAGCTTACGCTTTAGTGGCGGCATAGACAGAATAAAGGGGATCTGAAGGGATAACAATGGCGGCGCCGGAGCCAATATTGACGATAGCTCCTTTCTTCCTCTGAATCATCCCCGGTAAAACCGCCTGAGTAACCTTAGTAGTCCCTTCCACATTGACTTTAATCAGATCAGCCAAAAGCTTATCATCCACCTCATGAAAAAACCTCGCGTACGGATAAGAAACGCCGACGTTGTTAATCAAAACTCCGACATCTATCCCCTCAATCGCCTCCCGGATTCTCCGAACGCCGTCGTCCAAATCGCCGGAGAAATCCACCACCACACTCTTGATTTGGGTCTGCCCGTACTTGGCCTTTATCGAATCGGAAACATCTTTCAGCTTCTCCGGGTTCCGCCCCACAAGAACTAAATTCAGCCCTTTCCGAGCTAACTGAAACGCAAACCCTTTTCCGATACCGTCGGTCGGCCCCGTCACCAGCGCCCATGACCCGTATTTCTTGAGATTCTTCCCCGGGCGGAGGAAATTGACGTGGACCCATTTGAGAACGGTTACAGACAAGGCGAGAAGCTTCAAGAATCCGAGAGCTAGTAGCACGAGAAGCCATGGCGGCTGAGATTTGAGCTGTTCATAGACACAGGCCTCCATGGTCGAAGTGAAAGAGTACACGGCAACTGAGCAAACTCAGAGCTTTCTACACGGTTAAGAATGGAGGTTTGGAGCAGCTCTGACTTCTGAGCTGTTTATAGCTTCAGAGAGCAGTTGAAAATGGTGGGTTTAGCTTTGAATATATGAGAGGGTTAGGAGAAAACAGTTGGGCATGCCGAATTGATTAATACGCCATATCTAGCTTCAATTTTTTGAATGAAAAATGTTAATTGTGAAAAAAAATATATATATATGTTCAATTGTAATATAAAAATTCAATGCCGAAGCTCAAACCGACAACTTCCCATATGAAAATTTAACTTTGTACCATTAAATCACAAGGTCTTAACAATTAATATTATCTGTTAATACATATGTCCTCTGGAATGAAAAAATCAATCTGGTCAACACTTTGCTCCTTAATTTAGTAGGTCCGATGTGAACGGTTCCACAGTTAATGCCAACTCAGGACACCTCGTGATCCGATAAAAAAAATATTATTTGTTAATAAACGTATAAATATTTTGATAAATGGTACAATGATTTAACATATTTTTAGAATTTATTTTGAGAACTATTAACTCTGTTACAACCTATATATTGAAGCACAAATATTGATAGAACAATATTTGCAGTCTTTAAATTATTAAAACAAATGAAAGGAGTAGTATTTTTGTGTTCCTTAATTTTATCAATTATTGAACAAAAATATTAAACAGATACTACATTGTAATAGAGTTGATACTATTCAATAATCACTCTTATCAAGACCCTCTAGATCATATTTGTTGCACAAAAATAATGAACGGATAGTACCTTGTAATAGAATTGATAATACTCGAAAATCACTCTTTCCAATATCCTTTTAATCCCTTATATAATTACAAGTTGTTATATAAAAACAAAATTTATTCAACACGAATAATAATTGTTGATTTTCTCATTACCTAAATAAATAAATAAAATAATAAATATCATAACTTGTATCAATGGACTTAAATGTGTAGGCATTGGTAGGTGGGAAGGTAGTTCCAATTAAATTCATTGCCACCACAACTTGGATTGTTAAGGACGCAATCAATTGATTGGGAAATGCAAAATACATTTGCAAATATTATGCTCATGAATCGGAACATTTCGGTCTAATCAATCTAATCCATAATAATCTTTTTATTACGATTTAATTTATATCCAGCTTTTATATAATTAATTAACAAGTTACAAGTTATTATATATGAACAGATTTTACTTAATGCATATGTTTGATAGTTAATTATTATAATTTCCGTTATTATATAGACAACAAATATGGTTTTGAAGTCCAGATTTAGGTTGCCAGCAGAGAGCATTGAGACTTGAGAGTTCCTTAATTGTCTACAGGAAAAAGAGGTTGTTGAGCTGCATGTTCAAGTAGGTCAACTGAAAAATGGAGTTTGAATAATCAAAATTTAAAATTTGATTCGATTTATAAAAAAAAAAAAATTAAAACTCAAACTTAATTGAGATCTGTCTAATTTTTATTAGCTTGACTTAAATTAATAGGCTCAATAAAATAGTGATATCAAGTGAGTCGTGTTATATTAGGACAACCCAAACTAATATTTTATGATCTACAAAGTTTGTTAATTGGATTACATTATCAACAGTTGCACAAGGAACTCACGTTCATATAATTTTTTTAAAGAGAATTATCCCCGGTCCTATTTAAATTACATATAAGAGAAGTAATTTGTACTATAAATACTCTATGCTACGTGTAATGAATTTGACTGGAAAAATGTTAGTAAATATCAAATTCGTGACGTTTTTATACGAGAATATAATCATGTTCCAGTCGCACTATCACACCTTTCGGTGCACTAATATATATTATTGTTTGTTTCTTTTATGTGTTATGTTAGAGTTAGTTGAAATGGTGATGCGTGTAGTATGAAACTTCCATGCATATATGTATGAGCCTATGAGGTATGGAACTCTCAGTCTCTCATGTAGTATGTGGTGATGATGTATTTGGTATGTACAATTCTTTGACTATGAGATATGTACAAATTAAACAAACTTATTCTTTTTTTTTCCTAGTAAGGTATATTTTATTTTATTTTATTGATTTTTTTGTTGGTTAATACCAAAGAAAATAAGGAATAAAATTTATTAACAAAAGGTCAGGTCCGAAGACAATACATTACAAATGAACGGGGAGGGTGGTTAAACCATTCTCTATAACCAAATAAAGAAAGGGGTTTCAATCTCTAACTAACAAATTGGTAGTCTTCATTGATCGTTTAGCAAAAAAGATAAACATTATTTAGAAAAATAGGAAGTAAATCTTTGACATCAAGTAATAAGAGCTTTTATTTTTCGGTAAAAAAGTGCACCATCAATTCAAAATTTCACATGAAAGCGCCATCTTAAAATTACTTCACGATGAATAATAAAGTTCTTCCGTATTTAGACACCATGCACACAACCATTGCTGAATTTGTCCAAGGAAAATGATAAGTATATATTCCAATTAAGTAAAACCTCTTGTTACATATCTGTATTTTATTGGACGAAGAAAAAGAACTTATATAAGTAAAAAGGATCATTTTTTAATCAATCAAAACACGGAGTTATGTAAACCAAAAGTTTAAAATAAAGTAAAAAGTACCTTGCATGCATAGTCAAACATAGTCAATGTAATATTCATAAAATGATAAGTATTTGTTCATTCAAGTGGTACTATTTTTTGAGATTGCATCATCAGTTCCTTCTTCTTCCTGGAATCCTTGAGCTTTCCCTTCTTTCTGATTCCCAGGCAATCCCTGAGTCGCCAGGCATCAACTGCAGACTCGGGTAAGAAATAGAGCAAAGCCCATTGCAGAGAATGGGGCCAATATGGGGTGCACCTTGCTTCATAACCTATCCACCTCAATGCTGCCTCCGCGTAGTCATCTGTTGATGCAATGAAGAATGATGATGATGATTTTCTGATTGTTGATATCATTTTGGTTGCCACATATAATGGTACCTGCAAAATACAACGAAAATCTGGGCAGCTACTATTTGATATGGATAAACCAGCTCAAACCAAAAAGACTAATAAACAATTTTTATTAAAAATTGAACTCGAAATCTTGTGTTTCTCAAACTACATGGAGTAATAGTTTGGCTAACTTGACTGGCATGGCCTGGGTTGCCCCTAGCTAGGTGGTACATTCTTACATACATATATATGTGTGTGGATTGTATATGGCAAATTATTTGTTTTCGGTGAGATTTCAAGTTTTAATCTTGTTGGCTTCAAGTTATGAGTGTTTGTGTATGTATGGCTCTAGAGGTTTTGAGGTGGGAGTAGGGAGCAATACATACTTGACATTGCACATCAATCCCACTTTTGCCGTACTCCAAATAAAGGCATCTTGAGAATTGATGAATGTATCTGAAAATAAAATCAAGAAATAGTTTAGTTGCAGAGATGACGGGACGGCAAATAAAAGATGGCATGAAATCAAAGTGGTGATGTAGGATAATTCTAGTCAAGTTAGTTAATAAGTCTATTAATTTTCTTTGTTTGAATTGATCAACTGTAAACAACTTAGGTCCTTTTTTTGTCAATTAAGGCTACAAAGCTAGATTTACTATGCATATACTCTAAATAGTGGCTAGGATTTCCCTCATCAATAAAAAATAATAATAATAAAAAATAAAAAAATTGTCAAATGCAGCCCTCAACTTTATACAAAAAGTCGCCAAAAAATTTGTGATCAGTAATAGCAAGTCATTAGGTTCCCGTGATGTTCCGACCATGCATCTCCGATCCAGGACAAAAACTCATGAGTCACAAATGGTTGTCGGTTACCTCACGAGTTGCTCGTCGTCAGTTTTAACTTTTAATCCCCGGAACTAGTTGAAATGCCACATGAACTCTAATGACATACTATTACAGATTATTACTGATTTTTAAGTTTTGATGTGCAAAAATACCTGATAGTACTAATTTCTGGTTGTACTCGTAGAACAGGATGTGTACCGTGTGTATATGAAATGAATTATGAAATGAATGTAGAGTGTGTATGAACATTCAATGAGTTCTTTAATTTGTATGCCTTCTAGAGAGATGAAGGAGGATCTTGTAGAGAGGGGGTGGAAAGGGCCAAAAGACCCCTAACTTGAAGGGCAAAATGCCCTTTTATAGGCACAAGAAGATGACGGGTTTGACCCGTCATCTTTGACCTTGACCCGTGCACCGAGACCCGAACCGTTTGACTCCGACCCAAGCAGGAGCACAGATCGTACGGGAAATCTGAATTCGGGGTATATTCTTCATCAATACCATATTGATGTGGTACCAAAGACCTTGTGGTTTACTGGTACCAAGTTGCTTCCCTATGTGGGAGGTGGTGAGTTCCCGCCTAGGTGGAGGTGATTATGGTGACATTTGATGTAGTAGCTTGTATATGTGAGTATCCCCTTTCCTTATGATTAAAAAAAACATATTGATGTGGTTAATTATAATTTATAAAAGTTTAAGAGACTAATTGAATTTTTAGGACCATTTTTTTCAAGGAAAACAAAAAGAAAATGAAAAAAAAAAAAAAAAAAAAAAAAAGGGAGACGTAAATGGATGCATGAAGGAAGAGTGATATAACAATGCTCTATAGAGTGTGTATACACAGGTAGCTTACGCTTTGGTGGCGGCATAAACGGCATGAAGGGGAGCTGAAGGGATGGCAATGGCGGAACCGGAGCCAATATTGACAATCGCCCCTCTCTTCCGCCGGAGCATCCCCGGCAAAACCGCCTGAGTAACCTTAGTAGTCCCTCCCACGTTCACTTTAATCACATCGCCCAACAGCTTATCATCCACCTCGTGGAAAAACCTCGCGTACGGATAAGAAACACCCACGTTGTTAATCAACACTCCGACGTCAAGCCCCTCGATCGCCTCTCGGATTCTCCGAACCCCGTCGTCCAAGTCTCCGGAAAAATCCACCACCACACTCTTCACCTGGATCTGCCCATACTTGGCCTTTATCCCACCGGAAACGTCTCTCAGCTTCTCCGGATTCCGGCCCACCAGAACTATGTTCAGCCCCTTACGAGCTAACTGGAAAGCAAAGGCTTTTCCGATGCCGTCGGTAGCTCCGGTTACCAGCGCCCAGGAGCCGTAATTCTTCAGATTCTTTGCCGG